CGCCCCACCCCGCTGTCGCCACTCCACGGGCTGTTGGGTCAGGACCCAACACTGGACCCAACACTCCCGGGGGCGACCCTACCGTTTTCTGATCCCACGGCCGTGGAACGCGCGCTGGTACATAAAAATGGCCGGAGGACGTCTCCCGGCGTGCAAAAAGGAGGGATTCCGCCGCGTACGAGGGGACTCCGCCGTCCAGCGCCCCTCCCGGGCAAAAAGCAAAACGAACAACACTGGGGATTCCCACGTGGTCACCCACCGTAGTACTAATCCAGCGATTACGTGCTTATATATGGCAGAGCGGACGGGATGCCTAGCTTTCACGTATCTGTGGTCGTTCGTGCTAGATCTCCATGTTTCCCAACTCATATACCTCCACCCCCCACCGCACACGGCCGCCTCAAGCCGAGTTACATGTTCGTCGTAGCTGTTGCTTAGTTGCTAATATGTTGTCGGGACATCAAGTTCTGTACGTAAGCAAGATTCGATAAAACTAGGACAGTGTCGGGATGCTGCAGGCCGTACTTAGTCTTATAGCCTTCTGCTGCTAGACTTTGGAGGGCCTCGGCCTCCGTCCATCGTCCTTGCTTGCAATATGTCGCTGCGAGGCCCGCCATGCTCGTAAGTGTAACGGGATGATCCGCCCCGAACGTCGTCTTCCTCGACTCCAGCACATGCACCTCAAGCTCCTCCGCCTCCGCCCATCGACCTTGATTGCAGTACGTCGAGGCGAGATTCCCCATGCTCGTGAGAGTATCGGGATGAACCGCTCCGAGCATCGTCTTGCTCGTCTCCATTACCTCTACCTCAAGCTCCTCCGCCTCCGTCCACCGTCCTTGATTTCGATACGTGTTTGCGACCATCACCTTGCTCCGTAGAGTCCCTCTGTGTTTGTCGCCAAGCTGCTCGGATCTAGTTGCCATAGATTGAGTCGCCATGCTAAGTGCCCCAGCAAAATCTCCCTGCTCACTAGCATACGAGCTACTCCTGTATAGTAGGGTCGACCACTGTAGCTGCGCATCTCTGCCCACTGGTTTACGCTCTGCCGCGCGTGTTGCATGTGGGAACAGCGTACGACATAGAGCCCAGTTCTCAAAATCGCCGTCTGGGAACACCTCGCACAGACGATCAATGAAACGACCAAAGGCTTCTTCGCATCGTCCGAGCTCTTCTAACCAGACTTGTGTCGCGTCCTGGACGAGCCGATGCATTTCCCATTCCCGGGGGTCCGGAGTTTCAGACACTAGTGAGAAGTTTCGGAGTGTAACAATGTCGTCCTCGAAAGTGGAAGAATGACCTGGAGGATCCGTGTCCCCGCCATCTGCACGAATCAGGTTCTCTTGGATGGCAAGTCGGTCGCAGAAACTCATGATCGACAACAACTCTGCAGCAGACTCCTGCGTCTTGTGGATGTGCTCAAACGAGATCTGCCATGTGAGCATAACCGCATTGCTCGCCTCTGTATCTCGGCTAGGAAGCGGGACGTGTCGCCGTAAGAGGCTCGTTCTCGATGTGCGGTTCTGCTCCAGCTCCTTGAGATACTGCTGCACGGAGCAGCGCGGGCCTCGCTCTCGTATATATGCCGCCGCTTGGGCGATGGCGAGCGGCATATAGTCAAGTGCTCGAACAAGTATCCCGTCGTCCGCGCTCTCTCCTTTGACTTTGCTTACGAGCAAGGATCGTGCTTCCTCCTCGTTCATTGGCATAACATGAACTACATCATCTTCGTACACCAACTTCAGCGCCTCGCTCTTGCTTCTAGATGTGATGAGCACGGAGCCGTGCTCGCAAGAAGGGACGAAGTCGATGCGTTGTTGCGTACGCCGTGTCTCAGCGACGGCCGTGGGCGGCTCGAGGAGAAAAGAGGCATCGTCGGCATTGTCGAGTACCATAAGCCAGCTTCCTTTGCTCGCATCGCGAAGCCAGTTCCGAAGTAGTTGGAGAACGTCAGCATTGGGATCTTCGCGCCCGAATAGCTGAAGTAAATCGGCCGTGTCGCGCGCGCTCTGCTCGAAGCGCACTGCGTTGCTCGCATGCAACCAGAACACCCAGGTGTCCGGGCGCAGCGTGTGCACGCGGTAACAGTGCTCGATCGCGAGCTGTGATTTCCTGCCACAACATCAGCACACTGGGAACGCTTGGCGCAGCGACCATGTCCTGGACGTCTCTCATACCCAACTCCACCCAGGCCCACTAATGCAACTCGGGCTGCTGGCGCCAGCCTTGCCTCCACCTGAGCGGCCAACGTTGGGCGGGGGATGAATCCAGGCTCACGACGGAAGGGCACGTTCATGGACGGCTTTGGTCGCGCCGCATCTGCGTCCATAAGTCCGATCTCTTTCAACAGACGCCGTCGTGCTCGCTCTGCTCCCTCACCATAGTTCGCGCCAATGGGAGCATCCAGGATACCGAACAGGCAATATGCCATGTCCTCTTCGCGAGTCGTGTTTCGGCCCTGTACCCATCGGAGCTTTTCTTCTTTGCTGAACGCCTCCAGTCGGCGAGAGTCGTCCAGCACGCCGTCCGGAACACCTGTGATTTGTGACACGCTCTGAGTCAGACAGCGGCCCATAGGTCGTGATGATTTTGCATCACCCATGTCCCACCCCTTATGCCCAATGACTTGCCAATCCGACGTCAAGAAAATGACAGTCCGCGACGCGATCAGCTCTTGCAAGGTCCAGCCGCGTCTGAACCACTCGCTGCGCCGGAACTCTTCCTCATCCTCGCTATCGCTCACGTCGACAAGGTATGCAAGGCAGACCACGGCCTTCTGATACCACTTGAACATGGAATTCACTGCTTCCGATAGCTCGGCGCTGTACTTCTGGTCGATGCAGCATGTGTCGATCCACAGCCACTCCACGTCTGGGACATGTTTCTTCACATACTGCACGAACCCTTCCACCTTCTTGTAGCCTGCCTTCTCTGTGTTCCGGTGCTTCTGCACATCTTGATAGGACGTCTCGGCTGCTGCTGCCCATCTGTGCGACGCGATCGCGTATGCTGGAGCATCGGCGTAGAACTGCTCGAAACCGCGTGTCCGGACGTTCAAGAGTCGCATACTTGAGATTGATGAACCAGGGAGATCAGGTGCTCCTGTTGGACAGGCAGAAAATATATCAGGACATGCTTGTGACAGCGAGATGCGCAGACGCAGACGCTCCCGCGTCGCAAGGCTGAGCAGTGCTCTGCTGCGGGGAAGGCGCAGCTGTGGACCTGCAGATGGTGTGGTGAGTGCTTTCCGCAGCGAGGCGCGAAGGTACGTGAGCGACCGACATTGCTCTACTGTACTCTGTGCATGAATTGTCCTCAGGACTCTATTCGCCAATGCGTCGTCAAGATGTCATATCCTATTCACTCTCCTCCCTCGTCCAGGTCGTCGGCCTCTTTCCTCTTCCACATCTTCGACTTCATCCTTGCCCTTCTCCAGCTTCCCATCCTTCAACTCCCAAGACTGCAAACCCCAGTCTGTCACGTCATACCAATCCTCGCCATCACTCATCTCCGTCACTGCATTGCCCTTGCCGTCGTGGATCACATGGCCTTCGGCTTTGCAGCACCTGTACACGTACGATCGCAGTCTGTCTGCCCTTTGCAATCCTGCATGCAAGGTATCCAGCGACCGCACCACCTGCTCTTGCTTCTGCACGTACAGCAACAACAATTTTCTAGTCTCTTCCGCTTCCTGCGCAGGAAGACCGAGATCACGATCAGGCAGCGATGATGCAGGCGCAACAAACCATGGGTGAATTGCAGGCACCGAGGCGGATTCGCTGGGCGAGGGGGATGAAGTGCGGTCACTTCGGCCCGCAGGCGAGCGTGCTCGAGCACGGGTCGTCATGGCGTGCCGTTCGGTGCCGTTCGATTGTGAAGCTGTTTCGGACGCTGCCTCGCCATCGGCAATGTTGGCAATCGTGGGATTGGGTATGCTCTCCGCCTGATCGTGGATCTCTGCTGGCAGTACGTCCGAATTCATGGCGATGTCACCATTGGCGACCTGCGATGGTACTTGGTCGGAGACTTCGCGGTGCGCATCTGCGCTGGCGGCTTCGGTCGTGTCTGCCGCCATATCATGCGTGACCACGCCCTCCATTGTCTCGCTCGCATTTTCAGTGTCGCCATTGGCACGAACAAAAGGCTTCACAGGATCCAGCTGGTCAACAGCTTGGGCTGCAGTCGCTGGCTCCAGTGTGAACATGTGATGGTCCGCCAGCATATCCGGCACCACCTCTTCTCCCGTGAGGAGCGCGTTGTCACTCTCGGCCTCAAATGTCTGCGAGGGAACCCAATCCGCATCGCCCCGGAAGCGCTGAAGCAGTCTTTTAGCTTTCCACAACCTCGCTCTTTCTCGCCTGAGCATCGCACACGCTTCTTCAGCCATATGCGTCAATCCCTTGCTCTTATATGGGATGCTCAGACTAGGATGGTCTGCCAGCTCGGCCGCAGACGTCAATGGACGCAGCAGCGACTCCAGCTGCACTTCGCCAAATGGGTTGTCGTCAGCCAATTCCCCATAGCGCTCGTTTTCGTGATCCGACGATGTGGGGGAGTATGGGTCACCATCTTCGTCGAGGTAGGCAGGATTCGCAGCAATCGTGTGTCGCAAATAGCCAGCGTGGTTCACTTTCTACGTCGCAGTCAGGACAACGCATTGGGATCGTGCAACGTGGGTGCAGCACTGACCTTGCGATATGACAAGCCGCCGGTGTCATCGAGGCGGTCTTTCTGCACATTTTTCGCGCCTCGTCGCAGTTTGTTGCCCCGGTTCGTGTGCTGTCGAATGTCTCCGTCGCTTTCGCTGTCGCTGGCGCGTCGCTTCATGGCCAACTTCATGGCCCGAATGGTTTCGGCAACCATGATCTGCTGCTGCGAGGCGGCCATCGTGTCGCGAGCGCGCTGGTAGGCGTCGGCGAGGGGTGGCTGTGGGGACGAATGGTTGAGGAGAGCTCGTGCAGGAACAGCGTCTGTTTTCGAGACACGGCGGAGTGATGCAACAGCTCCGAAGCTGGGGAAGACCCTAGCCCGCCAGCCCGAGATGTTCCGCAGAGCCGCATCGATATTTTTTGGTCGGGAGCATCGTGGAGCAAAACTCGCCATTGTGAATCGTCTGCCCATTTTTACCACCACTGCACGCAGACCGCCTTCGACATGGCTATGGAAAGTGTGATTCCGGCCGCCTTCTGGCCGCACGATAGCCCCGCGCCCCGTACGCACCAAGTGTTGAGCCAGATTGCCGGCCTGTTGCAAGATCTGGGATACACCAAGACCGTGGCTTCACTCGAGAAGGAAGCGGTCAAGAATGGTCTCGCCAAACCAAATGCCACCGAAGGCAGTTCACAACTCTTGGCATTGTACAGCCTAGATGCTTCTACTGTCACGAAGCTGCCGAGCTCGGACAGTGATAGCGACGCCGACAGCGAGAGCAGCGATAGTGAAGAAGACTCGGAACGAGACGAGGCTGAAGGCCACTTGGTGGACGTGGAGGCAGAAGAGACATCAGACGACGAGTCAGACGAAGCAAGCGATTCGAGTAGCGACAGCTCATCGGGCAGCGCAGTGAAGACAACGGGCACGAAGCGCAAGCGAGCTGTGACGCCGCCTTCGTCGGTTGATTCGAGCTCCGATACCTCCATGAACAGTGATAGCGACAGCAGCAGCAGTAGCGATTCCGACAATGAAGCCTCACGACCATCGAAGAAAGCGAAGACGGAAGACGTGAAAGCCGGAGCCAGCGATTCGGATTCTTCAAGCTCCTCCAGCGGCGGCGAAAGCAGTGACTCTAGCTCCTCTTCCGACTCGGACTCTGACAGTGCTGCGAGTGACAGCAGTGACAGTGACTCCTCGAGCGACAGCAGCGACAGCGACTCCTCGAGCAGCAGCAGTAGTAGCAGCGACTCGAGCTCCTCCGACTCAGATTCCTCCGCGCCAGCTCCCAAACCCAAAACGAAGAAGGAAAAGAAGGCTAAAGCCTCCACCCTTGCCGTACCCAAACCAGAAATCAAGGACAACGGCTCCCAATCCTCTTCCACACTCCAAGGCGACTCCCCCGCCCCAAAGCCCGAACAAGAAGACGAGCCTGAAATGAGCGGAATGCACCCAGACCGCCTCAAGCAAAGCAACTTCGCCCCAGCCACACGAAGAGAATCCGCAGCCGCCTCCAAGAAATCTCAAATTCCCTTCTCCCGAATCCCAGCAGACCAAAAAGTCGACCCACGATTCAGCAATAAATACGTCTCGTACGACTACGCAGACAAGGCGTATCAAGATTTGGTGGTGACAAAAGGCAAAGGTTTTACGAAAGAGAAGAACAAGAAAAAGCGAGGTAAGCGCAGCGAGCAAAGCACACATCTCCCTCCCGTCATCCCACAAACACTAACCCATGACCAATACAGGTTCCTACCGAGGCGGCGCCATCGACCTGGCACCTAAGGGAATCAAGTTTGAAGACTGAAGAGGGAGATCATCATGCTCGCAGAATTGTACTGTCTGCCACGGCGTTGCAACAGGTATATACCTAGGAACTGATTGTGGGACTGGAAGTTGTTTATCGAGTTGACTATGTAATCGAGGAAAACTGGTTCAATTCAACCTTTGCGTAGCACGGGCTGGCCACAGACTTGTTGGCTGAAATTGCTCATTTCTCAGACGTGTCTGGGAGGCGTGGTTGTGTTCCTTTAGAGCCTTGCGACGAAGTGCGAGTTGACTGTGAGGGGGAACAAGTAGATACAGGGTCAGGAGTCGCGAGTGCCTGGCCAAGCAGAACGGTCCTGGTCGGTCGTAGTGGAAGATGGAGCTGCAGTCCAGTTGTCATACTGCCACCATTCGTTCATGTCTTATACAATGAAGACTAGACCCATGCACGGGACGTCGATGGCGAGCACTAACACAACACAGTGAACGCATCCTGCAACGATCTGCGAACGGAATGAGGCGCTAATGCCACATCTTCGTACGTACGTGAGCTTATGAAGCTGTAGGCAGCTCCTTTCATTGTTGTACAAGAAAACTCGTGTGTTGACGTGAGCGAAAGTCCTCATATTCTCGCTCGTACACTCCCGTGCTCCAATTGTCCAATAATCCCACCTCCTGCCAACGTCCATGTTTCCGACACAAGGCTGTCAGTCACGTTGGCTCGCAACATCCCACTCCGAGCATAATACTCCATAATCCCCCTCGCCTCAGCCTTTGTCAAGCCCTCAAGTTTCCTCACGCCCACTGTCTCCATCACCTCCTGCACCCATTGATCATGCGCAACATACGGATCCCAATCCTTCACCTTTCGACCATCTTGAATCGCATCATTCCGCTCCAGACACTCGTCCAGAGTATGCGTGGCAGCTCGATTCGACTGAGAGACGGCGGCTAGCACCATACCGCCATTCGGCAGCGGGGTTCGTCCGGACAGGGCATCAACGAAGTGCTTGACCAGAGTGAGTTCGTGGGCGTGAATCGGTCGTGTCTCGGCATCCAGGTATGCAGAATCGCGCATCACATGGTCAAAGGCGTCGAGGGAGTACATTATGCTTGGCCGACCAGCATCGCGGAGGGACAGTTCGGACCAAAGGGCTTTCCACACTGGCCAGGCAAGATCATGGTCTTGAACACCAATCGCAGCGAGGCGGTCGAGAGATGCATTAGGCGGTATGGGGACGCCAATATCGTGTTGTTGCTTCACCTGAAGCGTAGATAGCAGAGCGCCATTGGCCTTGATAACATTGTCCAGCAGCTTCGCGGTATATGTCGGCTGCATGTACATGGTGCCTTGTTCCGTCTCGATGGGCTCATATGCGGTGAAAGCATTGGTGAGATCTTTGGCGTCGGGTACGTGGATGACGATCCATTTGTGAAGGGAGGCCATAGCCATGGCCTGCAGCTGCAATACACTCTTCCCGCTCCCTCGCGCGCCGTAAAGGACCTTGCGTACCGTCCTTCCCTCTTGCGCTGCCTCCACAATCCATTCCAGATCGCCGGCAAGCTCTACCGTCTCCTTCCTGACGAGCGTTGCGGGTCGACGAAACAGGCTCCATCCTTGCGTGGTTTTGAAGGCCTCTAGAGCGCGGATCTTGTCCACAGTCTCGGTCTGCAGACCGACCACGCTGCCCCGAAGCTCTCGCAGCTGCGCGATCTTCGCAGTGCCTGGGCTCAAGTCGGGCAAGCCCGGCACTTCCAATGCGTTCGAATTGCTGAGGACGACTCGCTTCCGCAGTGCCTTCCTCTCACCGACCGCCGGAGGACGCGCCGTCGCCGCTCGCTTGTTCTTGTTCAGGCGCAATGTCTTGCCCGGTCGTGCTGTTGGCCTCGCGACGACAGCCTTCTTCTTCGGCGGGTTCGCGGCGAGGGAGGAAGAGGTCGAGAAGGCGGTGCGGCCGGGGGTTGGCGTCTCGACGGCGTGCAGAGAGCGCCGCAGGCAGCGGAGACACAGCGACGATGGCATGGAGGCGGGCATGCTGCTGCCGATTGCGATCTCGCGACGCGGACGTGGATGGGTGGAATGTGTGGCAGCAGCACGGAGTCGATGCGTGCGGCGACTCGGAGGTGCCGCAAACGGAAGCATTCCGCTGCTGCACTTTACACTTCACTTCGCCCGACCTTAGACAGAGACAACTCCACCTTGACCATGTTCGTCGACTTGGCGCAGTGCTCACCAAGAGACTCCCCATTCAATGACCATGGTCATGGCGGTCCCGCGGTATGCTGGATGCGAACCTGCTCCAGAGCATTGACACCACAATTGACCAGACATGGCCGGTAAACGATATCCCTCCACAATTACGGTAGGTCATTTCTGGACAACCCGTTTGCGTGACACGTCTGAAGACGGTAGCGTGGATGCACGCGGCGACTCGATGGTAGCATTGGCACGTGCAAGGCCCTGAATGGAGACTGCCGGATCTGTCTCCTCTGACAATCGTCCGCTTCCGGCAAACAATGCGAACAAAGACACAATGGAGACGGTATACTCCCTGAGATGCCGCAACGATGCTCTCCGAAGCGTATCATCCCAAGTCACATCGCAATTTCAGGGCTGCACACCAGCCCAACTACACTATTTCCAATGTCTGGAACCAGAAGAAGTGCTCGTCTGCAGAAAGCACCCCTCGAGTACACGACCAGCGTTGACCCGGTGGCCATCGAGAGAGCGGCCAGTGCTGCTCGTCGTAGAGCCCAAGCTGCGGCAGTCGGCAGCCCTCGGCCTCGGGCGACTACGCAGAATCGCGGTCGCGGAGCCCGAGGTAAGCGGAGGGGAACGGGAGGTCGTGCGGCAAGGGGAGGCCGTGGAGCACGAGCAGGTCGGGGAGCAAGAGGAGGTCGAGGCGGCAGAGGTGGCACCGCTGCACCAGGACCCTCCGTTCCGACTTCAACTCCCCTGCCCAGTTCACCGCCGCTGCCGAGTTCACCGCCACTGCCTACTGGATACGTGAACAACCCGGCCACGCCCGATGTCCCAACATCAACCACCGACCAAGTGACGACTCCCTCCGGTCCAAATGCCACTGCACCGTCAGCCTCGGTGGAACGGAATGGCACCTCACAACAACCTGATGAAGCAATCTCAAGAGCATCAGCAGAAGCTGGAAATGCTGCCCACAGCACTCCCACCCGCACATCCCCAGCGTCCAGGCCCGGTCCCAATACCTCCTCACCCACAGGAGCGAGAGGCCCTACACCAGGCCCTTCTAGACAGCAAGCCGGACGAGCCAACCTTGCCGATTCGGAGGCCGCCCAGGACCTCACTGCCGAGAACTTTTGCTCCAAGCTTGCCACATTGTTGGAAAATTGGAGACAGCAAGCTGTGGAACACGCACCCAATCTTCTTGAGGACCCCGCAACGGCTGGTGAAGGCCTCTTGGGCACGACGATCTGGCGTGCCATTGCCGCGGTCACGGAGGCGATGCCTTTTCAATTTTCATTGTTCGACCCGATCGCAATCAGCGCAGGGCTGATGACCCCAGATCTGCAAGTCCAAAGGGCAACGAATCCAGGCAATGAGTGCTTTCTCGTTCGCACAGATGGCACAAACGGACTGATACATCACTCTTTGTACTTCTTGAAAAGGACCGGAGGTTCCTCCTTCGAAATTCGAAGCTACGATTCTGCCAGGGGTAGTTGGCATCGCAGGGACAGTACCACCAAGGCCGACCAATTTCGTCAAGCTCTCATTGCGCTTGGCTGGTATCGAAACGACCCAGCACTTGCTGTGGCGCCAGGGGCGACGCAGTCGGACCCGCCAGCTCGACAGGCAAATGGCCGGGAGTGTGGCCTATACGTGATCATATACGCGTGGGCTATTGCATTAGGCTTGGAAGACTCTCTTGCCACATTCACAGGCATTACGAGACAAGCCGATTTCAACGCACGTGCCGTGGACCTGATCAACCTGGCGCTGCAGGGCTATTGCAGCAGCGAGACAATCGAAGCATTCCTGAAATGCTTTGGTATTGTGGAAGCGAACGCAACGATTCCTAGCGAGCGCCAATTTGACCGGACTGAGCCCTTCCTGACAGAAGACCATTTGCGGCACTACATTGCACGACGGAGAATCGAAGGCGATCTTTACAACATAAACGGGGACTTACCAAGCGTTGACGAAATGCTCGCAAAGATCGAGGACTCGAATCCGGGATTTCAATCTTCACTGGTCGAACGCACTGCCGAGGAGGTAATGGAAGAGTTTAGCATTGCCTTGTCTCTGCTAGAGACCAGCCCCGAACCGCGAGCATCTGTGGCCGAGGCTGGACCATCCACGCATCCGGGGTCATCGGGCAGTGGGCAAGAGCGTCAGTCGACTCCACGAAAGCGACACCACGAAGGCGGGATCGGATCAGAGAGTCCCAAACGGCGGAAGGAGGATGGTTCGGTACAGACCTCGGGCAATCCGAGCAGTTCGAGCCCTCAAGCTCGAACAGGGCAGGAAGTTGATCAGCCCGTGGAGGTTGATACCCGGACAACATCAGACCGCGACACAGCAGCAGCCACTGACACTAATGTTCGCTCACCGCATGTGGCTCCAGACGAAGTGCGTAGTGCAGCAGGTCACGGTAGGGACAGTTCCCGACTATCCTCGAATACTCCGGATAACAACAAACAGAGCTCTTCTTCCCGTGGCGACACACCCCGCAAGGATGGGCACGACAATGACACTGCTCCAAAACGCGAGCCAGTTTCCGGCGGTTCTGCCGCTGCCGTTGATACTGATGCATCCAACCGAACACCCTCAAACGGTAGTGGTGTAGCACATGATGGATCATCAACACATCACACTCCAGCACAGCCAACAACAACGCCATCCGCTCAGCTATCCGATGTTCTCCTCTCAAACCTAGAAGCCACCCCGCACACACCATCGCCACGAAATGCAAGTCCTCCGCATGCAGGATCCGACTCCTGGGCCAACGACCTGCCCCTAGGCGCAGATGATGATCTCTTCGGCGATGACGAAGACTTATACACAAGCACTCCCCGTCCACCCCGGTCCCTACAGCTAGATTCACAGCTCAGATCACCTACTCTCGCACTGCCACCCCCAACACCTCGCAACACCGCGCCTTCCCCACAGTTGAGCGAAGGCTTCGAGCCGACTAGGAATAGTGAAGATAGTTGGGATCAGGATTTCGCGGATTCAGACGACGGGCTCGGAGGACAGGCTTCGGACGGTGAAGAAGAAGACGAGGGTGAAGGGGGTATCGCGGCGCTCCTGCAGAGTCACGGGGTTGATATTGAAGTAAACGGGGAAGCAAGGATTGCCGAGAACGACGATGAGGATGAGGAGGAGGAGGAGGACCAGCGAGAGTAATATTAGATGAGCAGTAATATCAAACAATTCTTGTCTTTTGATTCTGCGGCCCGTTCATCGTCATCCACGCAGCTCAAATCGAATTTAAAATTATGAGCCGGACGGAATATGGCTTGCAATACAAGCACATACCCTCACTTCCACAAAATTAAGCCTCGTAGACGCCCTCATCTCGCATCGTCGCCCTCCAAGTCCAGCTTCGTCCAGTCCTGCTTCAGAGACATTACCGAGCCCTCGCCCTTCTGGCATATAACCTGCTCTCGACATCGAAACGCCCTCCAATTTCCGACTTCCCTTTTCGCCTTCGGTGAACCTTCGTCCAGTCCTGCTAACGGGTCGTAACGAGACTCGGAAAGCGACCGGTCCACCGACGGCTGCATCTTTACTATAACGACTAATATAGTAGTAGACCTGAAGCCGATTTGGCTCGGAAACAAGTTTTTCGAGCAACACGACGCCCCAAACACCTTGAGAAAGTCTGAGAATTTGATGGTGTCGAAAGCTTTTGATATCGAGAAATTCAAGCTCCTGAGGCCTTTGGGCAGTTTGAGATCCTGAAGAATTGACACCTTCAGAGAGATTGAGGGGGGGTGAAGATGTAAACGGTCAAATGCTCTAAAACAGAAACACGTAGCTTGTTGATAATGGGCTTGATGCCGCGGAGCCCCTGTTATGGTCAGCATTGTGTTCGAGAATATGAAATTATGAGGAGCGAGGACATGAAGCCTCAATATGTATTATGCCCTGCTCTAAGCTTATCTGCGCAATTGCCTTGATAGTCCGTGAGGATAGATGGCCGAAGGCCTTTAACAAGCGATTAACAGGAGATGACAGACTGCTCGGGTGTCTTCTGTTGTACTCCGACGACATGTGTCAATAGTCGTCGACTCCAGATGTTAGTGTCTTTGTTGGCAGGCGGCGGATTCGTAAGTGCCACTGCATGCCACGCCCACCAAAAGTCCACTGCCACGTCTTCCCAGTGAAATTCAAGTAGGGCTGTGATGCAGCCACGAGTGGTGAGCAGACGGCTGAGGAGGCGATGCGAGCTCTCAGCGATGGTGGAGAGCATCGGGAAATCGTCTCAGCCCATTATCCACAAGCTACGTAGTCGTTAAGTCCTCCTGCCGGGGCATGGTGACCCTCGGAAAGTCGCGTCGGATTGCCCTCGAATCTTCTGTTTGTCTCCGGCCAGATGATCGTCCTGTCCTTATACAAGGACACAACAGGCCTTGGAAAGGGTGTGAATGTACTGAGGCTGTACCGTTGCTATGATGACTATTACGATGGTAGCCCTAAAGAAGGGCAATTCCTCGAGCAGCACGAGGTCTCAGTGTGTTTGACCGGTTTTGAGATTGAATGGTTTGCAGCGTTTCTTTCGTCTTTCCTTGTCAACTGGATTGGTTCCAGAAGGGGGTCGGAGTATGTTAGCTGGCCAACATAGGGCAGGCATAGGCATCTCGAGCAGCACCAGGCTGGGAGAATTTGAGGAGGTTGAGGTTTGACAGCTTGGGTAGCTTGTGATTTCGGGAAAGCTCAGGATCTTGCGAAGAGAGATTTGATATCAGAGGTGAGTGTTGTTCACATGGAAAGTGCCCATCAAGACAGTGTGCTCTTCTGCGGCGTGGAAGATAGTTGAGGGGCCAGAGGGACAGATGGTGAGACGACGGTGGATTTCTCGAAAATGGAGAACAGAATAATGTCTTCAGTTCCGTCTTCAGTTCATCCGTCGCTCCTGCCCTCACTTGCCCCCCAGAGAAAGCAATGACGCGCTAGTGATACCGTGCATGAACATTTCTTGGCGGGCAAGTACCGCCACAGCTTCACTTGCACATAAACAAAACTTCGCTGACCACCTCCCCCCACCACCCCAACAAGCCAACATGGAAGATGAGCCCGCGGATCTGAGCATGCGCGTCAATATCGCGTTTCCACTCACAGTACTGCGACCAATCCTGGCAGCGCGTTCGCCAGCCCAAGTCGACGAAGCGGCCTTCAACGACATCTTCTGGGCCATCAAGGCGGAAGCCTCGACTCGTGAGCAGCATGGCCGCCGCAGAACCGTTCAACTCGCACCGCCCGTGATCAACCTTGCAGCTGGCGCGAGCCGAGAGGACGCAATCCAGATCGATTCGGACGACGAGTCGGCTGTACCAGCACCGAAACGCCGCAAGAAGAATGGCCGAAAGGCCGCTGTCGCGAGTCGCGGTCGCTCTGAATTGAACGCAAGAGTCTCAGCCAACACAGCTCGCCCTCAGCAAAAATCGCGGCCACTCGGAATCACAGAGCGCGTGTTGGCAGCGCACCACAAAGCGATGGAGCTTCGCGCCAAAACAGAGAGGCTGGAGCACGCAAAGGCCAAGCTGATCGCACTTCGTGGCGTAAGTCATCTCTCTCCGCCACGAAAGCGTTTTCAATCCAACGGATCTGCTGACCCATTGGCTCAACTCAGGTCGCTTTCTCAGACAATGGCCAGTCCTCAGCCCTCATCTCCAGATTCGAGCCAGACGACCGCGCTCCGCTAGCTCCCCACGATGAAAATCCGCCATTCCACGACACGCAGAGAGCGCAGGCTGGCGAGGAGGAAGGCCAAAAATGTGAAATTCCGAGAGCACACAGCCATGTCACAGACGATCTTCTCGTGGCCTTGGGCACGGATTGAGGGACAAGGAAACTTGCAGTGGCTCGGACTGTGCGCTCGTCAGCATGTCGAACAAATTGTCACAGGGTTTGTTAGAACGCGCAGCCACTTGTGTTCGCGGACGACTGGTACTGCAGCAAGCAATGGAAAATGGTATCATCAATTGATCGCACCATGTTCATTTCTCATCTACGTATGACTGTCCTCAATACGTAGGGTGCTCATAGCTTTTCTTTTGCACTGTCGTCTCTGTCGTGACATCCACTCTGCAGGGGCGAGCGGTCGTGTTTCGTAGAGGACTCTCTGCTGCACATTTATGCCCAACGGCAAGCCAGCCAGCCCAGAGGCTCTCATGCACTCAGAATGCCTGATGGTGACCCCCATCTAATCGACATTCCTATCGAGAGCAGTAGGCTTATCCTTAATCGGCATATCCTTGCCCGTCGTACTCTTGTACTGGCCGCGAATGAAGTCGGAGATCTGCTCGTCCTTGGCCTGCTCGACGGCGCTCTCGTTGTTCTGCGCGCCTTGACCCATGAACTTCTCTTGGACGTAGTCGATGCCCTTGTCCAGGTAGTCCTCGTTCTTCTCGCTCTCTGGACCTCCGCCAGCTGCGCCGTGGGCCTTGTTCATGATGCCGTCGAGGAAGCCGCCGCCTCCGCTGCTGCTGCCTTGCTGCTGTTGCTCTGGGTTTCCACCTTGCTGACCCTGCTGACCCTGCTGCTGGTTGTTGTTGTTGTTGTTGTTTCCGCCGCCGAGGGAGCCTGCCGCGTTCTTGAGGAAGTCCATGGTGGGTGGTTGATTGGAGTGAGCTGTCTGTCGTAGCTTGGTGATTCTTGGTGGTCGTGTTCAGAAGCTTGATTGCAAAGGTGTGGAGAGAGAGGGAACAGGTGAAGCTGCACGGCAGAAGTGGGATGTTATATCGCGGTGCCCAATGCGCAAGCTCTATGGTACTGTGCACCTGCAGCAAACAGGCTGATCGTGTGGTCGCTTGCACAGCACAGCCCACCACTTGGCGCACATGACGTGGGCGCACCTGGACCGATGAAACCCATCGTGAGACAGAATCGTCTATCGGCTGAGCGCCAGCACGTCGTAGGCGCTATCAGACCCAATGAATACACAACCCCAGAACAGCATGAACGGAAGTGGGATTGGATGGGCATAGGAGTGAGGTCATCCCAGCGCTGCAGCGCACGAGCCAAGCGGAACCGCCAAGCACATGGCCGATGACGGTGAGGTCAGGCTGGACCAGTATGCAATTTGTGTTCGCTGTGAATCCGATCGACCAGAAATAGAGCCAAGGCACAAGATCCTGTGAGATAGACCAACAAGCTGGAAACACCATAATGGTCAACCCTACAGAGGAGAAAGGCTCAAAAGCCCGCATCCCAATCACCATCTTGACAGGCTTCACGGGCTGCGGCAAAACAACTCTGATCCTCAACCTGATACCGCAACTACGAAAGCAGAACTCAGGCTACAAGCTCGCACTCATCAAGAACGAAATCGGAGATGTCGCAGTGGACTCTCAACTCGCGCAATCGGCCGAAATGGCTGCAACGCAAGAACTCCTGGGCGAATGCATTTGCTGCGTAAATGTTGGCCAGATAGGGTCCGCACTGGAAGAACTGGACTCCAAGAATAATCCCGATAGAATCATCATCGAAACTTCAGGATCTGCTGAGCCGCTGAAGCTGGTCTTGGAGATCAAACGCTTGTCCGATGTGACAGGCAGGTACGAACTTGATGGCATTATCTCTGTCATTGATGCCGAGAACTGGGGCGGGTACGCTTCGAAGTCATTCACTGCGAAGCTCCAGGCGAAACAGACTGATCTCATCGTGATTAACAAATGGGAGGGCTTGTCAGAGCGAGATTACGACCTCTTCTTGGACAAGCTTGGTGATCTCGATGTTGATACGCCTCAAGTCAAGAGTGACAAAGGATGGGTGGAGAAGGATCTTCTATTTGGCTTTGACCAGAAGCTGGCTCGGAATTGGCTGGACGCAGGGGAGCATCATGACCACGACCACGATCACGAGGACGGGGAAAAGCACACCAGTGAAGTCGAATGCCTGAGCGTCACCTTGAAATCACCCGCCGCTGATGCAGTAGTCGATCTGCAGAAGCTGGAGGCATTGCTCAAGGCGGCACCGAAAGACGAGGTTTATCGCATCAAAGGCGTGGTGTACAGCAGCTCATCACCCAAGAACGGAGATGGCAGAGAAATCAACCCTGGAGCCAATGGCAGATCACGATACATCTTGAACTGGTCATTCGGACGCTGGACTTGGTATCACGTGGAAGATGACACATCTGAATCGCCAATCGCGCGCATCAGCATTTTCACAGCACCTTACGAGAGCACGAAGTGGAGCAAGAAAGCGCACGAGTTTGTGAAAGTCGCAGAAGGCGCTCAAGAAGAGCTCGAGGTGAAGAGAGTGCAATGAAAGTCTTCTTCCGCTTTGGCGAACGCGAAATCAGGCCAATCCATCGCCAGGCTTATGCTTATGCACCGTCTCTTCCCCTCCGAGCCGCACAACGCCCACTTGCGGACCTGTCTGCTGCCCATACGGCGTGCCGAACTCTGGATGTGTCAACAGTCCTTCCGCAAAAGGCTCGAACGATCGAGATCGCCACCAGCTGTTCATCTTATCCCAATTCACACACTGATGCGGATAATCCAGTTGTGCGGTCGGCATCGAAGCTGTCTTCGGCCAATACATGATCATCGGCGTTAGGTCAGGCTGACACTCCATCGTCTGTTTGAGATAGGACAAGCAGTGCACTAAGTGGCGTTAGCACGAGCATTTCCAAGTCCAGGACACTCGACCTACTGCTGTGCATTTGCAATCGATTTTCCTCGTCAGCTGTCAGCTCCGGAAAGTACCGGTCTTTCCACAAAGACTTGTAGATGTAATGCTGCGATTTCGACAGTCAGCACTCACGGCCTTTGCAAACCGTCTTTTTGCCCGCTTACCAAGCAATGGAGGTTGTGGTATATGGTATTGGAGCCATAATAAGTGCCGTTGGGCAAAATTGTTGATCTCTCACTGGCTCCGCCGAATCTGTCGACCTCATTCTTGCTGTAGAGCACATTCATGGCTGCCGCAACAGTCAACACATTACTTGAGGTGCGAAAAGTAAGTTCTGCTTACGGATGAGTAGATCCTTCCATGCTGTTCGCAGGCCATCATAATGTTCCATCGGAAAATACTTCTTGTCCCAGCCATCTTGGAGAACGAAGTACTTATCTTCGTACTCGATGGCTTCGCGAGCTGGAGCTGTAACGCAGAACACCATGATCAGCCTATGCTCCATCAAGCTCCCAACGAAGGACTCTTACTGTATACAATGTTTGGCCCGTGAATGTAGCGCTGTTCCAGCAACTTCGATATGAGAAGCAAGAAGACAAGGTTCGCTGTTGCGAGTGCAAGATATGGTACTATTCTTCTGAGCAAACTCGGTCGTTCTCTGGAGGGCAATGCTGTCGGTCTCCATTCTTGGTCAATGAACGGCACCTTCTCTTCACTCTGCTGCCCTTGAAGTGTGCTCTCCGAAGCGTCGCTGGAAGTTCTTGTGCTCATAGTGGACGATAGTGCCTTTCGGAAGCTCTGCTGCGTAGGAGCGTGTCTTTCGCAGATGGACAGAAAAATTTGAACGCTGGAGATCAGGACCACAGAAGGCATACTGCGGAACAGTTGCACAGCTCCAAAAGATCGTCCAACTCGAGATCTGCAGTTCTAGCGAGCTCATGCAGGGTCGCAAGAAGCACACATCGCTCTAGTATAGACCCACAGCTGCGTGAGTTCAAGCTATGCTAGGCTCTGCATAAGGCTCGCTAACTTCGCGCTAGCTTCATTTTCGCACATGCTCAAGGATCGCCCTTTTGATTGGCTACGTTCCCATACGTCTATGCTACATATCAAATGGTTGCTGGACTTCCTTCGAGCACGCCAACAGCTTCATGACAAGATCTGCGACTTGCATTCGCACCAGTTTGCTCCAAGCGATACCCGACGACTTCGGAACTCCGAGGATGCTCGCTGGACAGGTAGATCAGCACAGAATGAAGAAGGAGCCAAGCCAACATCGACAACGTAGCATCACATCAATTGCTGAGAACAATCAATTCCAAGACCTGACGTTACAACGATCGACCATCGCTGCTCGCCTCTTCTCGCTCAGTGCTGCCCGAAGAGGATTGGAGCGATGAGGCTCGCTTCGACTCATGCAGCAGCAAGTAGCAGACTCTCCATGAGTCTGAAGAACCGCCGTTGGTGACGATATATGAAGCCCTTGCTCCCATGTGGTAGAGCTCAAAATCTGCCAAACTCCAAAACAATTGTCCAAGCAAGCAACCATGCAGCTCGTTACATCCGCTCTCGTCGCCGCCCTTGTGGCTGGCAATGCATTTGCTGCCCCCATCAATGGTATGTCACGCTGAGCTCCAAGACATAGCTTCAAGACTGACAGCGCAATCAGAGAAGCGTCAGGTTGCGCCAGAGGTGCCGTACGAGGTCGGCTTGACATACGGCGATGTAATCTCCCTCCCCGAAAGACATCTTCGCGCCTCCAACTGACCGGGTCTAGTACGGACGAGAGAGTGCTGCGAAGGCTGAGAAGCGCCAGTTCCAGGACGAGGTCCCATATGAAGTCGGCTTGACCTACGCAGACTACGGCCGCGAAGGCGCTGCAAAGGCTGATAAGCGTCAGGTAAACTTCATCAATTGCAATCCACCCACTTATATCCTACTAACAATCATCTCCAGCTCTCCCCAGAAGTCCCATACGAAGTCGGCCTCACATACGGAGATTATGGTCGCGAGAGCGCTGCCAAGGCCGAGAAGCGCCAGTTCCAGGAAGAGGTCCCATATGAAGTCGGCCTCACATACGCTGACTACGGAAGAGAGGGTGCCGCAAAGGCCGAAAAGCGCCAATTCCAAGACGAAGTCCCCTACGAAGTCGGCTTGACCTATGCTGACTACGGTCGCGAGGGTGCTACCAAGGTCGAGAAGCGCCAGCACGCCCCAGAAGTTCCCTACGAAGTCGGCCTCACATATGCTGACTACGGTCGTGAAGGCCGCGAGAGCGGCGTGACGACTCTCAACAACTAGACGACGTTCGATGATTCGGTGGAAAAGCATGTTTGGTGAAACTTGGGGGCGACGAGACATCATAGTGCAAACAAGAATGTACATACCATTGATGAACACGACTTTACGACAGTGTCTTTGATACACTGCACTGCACTGCACTCACAAAACGTGAAGAAGCTCCAATCACCTGAAAGCGGTCCGTGCCTTAGCCACATGCTGCGCATGCAATGCAGCTTCGCTTGAAGCTTGCGGATCGTCGTGTAGATCACATTGCGAGCTTTACGAAGCTCTGTCGTCGGGGGATTTTGATTTGAAACGACCCGAATTGCAGAATGTTGCAATTCGAGCACAAGTGGAATTTGTGAACGCTCTCAATGCCGTTTGAGATCGTGACAACTTTGGGGGCTGTGAAATTAGAGACTCAAAGTATGCATTCCAATCAACTTCATCAAAAGTAATAACCTAAGGCGGCACACTCCACACCTTCTCATCCTCTTGTCTATGCAGATAGTTTCGATCCCAGTCTTTTCCGACTCTCCTACTATCCGCGAATTCCATGATGCTATCCCAATTCCGACACGAGTGCCAATTGTTGAAATTGGGATAAGGTCGTGGGTTATCTTCCACATATCTGAATGTCACAATGCCGACATCTGCGTTGCACATGAGGACTTGTCGTAGCATGTCGATGCAGTGCCCAAAGTGTTCTTTTTGTAGGTCGAGAGGATCGGAGAAGTGTCCGGTGGAATTGTAGTAGTCGTAGTTCCAGATGTTGGTTTTACGGAGCATGTTCTGCGATTTGAGGTGTTAGGGAATGGGTAGTTGGGGGCAGGTAGAGATGGAGAAGGGGCTTACCACGCAATGTAGCTGGTGGAAGACTTCTAGAGAGCCGACGTATGAGTCTGGGATGCCGGCTTCTGGTGGCATGCGGATCGAGTCGAGATGGCCGGGTATTTGCGCGAGCTCGTCGCCGGTGATGTATGTTAGGTTGACTGTCCAGAAGTGTTAGCATGTGCCTTTGCAAGCTACAAGTATCCGTTCTTACAATTCATCAAATCATGCCACGCTGCGTCGATGGAAGGATGTGGTTCTCCTCTGTAAGGCGAGTCCTCCGAGATCGTGCCATTGAAGAGGACGTTGTGGTATGAGGTATCGATCGAGGAGATCGCGGGAGCTGTGACATGTCAGGACTTGTTGAACGATATTGGTGGACGCGCAACATACAGTATACGCTATGTCTTCGAAAGCATTCTGAGTCCTGTATCCGCGAGGCGAGGAAGTAGCCAGCCACCATTGACACAGCTGAGGAGAGCAGACATAGTATCAGGCATGTCGTAGCGGAAATTGTATTTGAGGCCGTGACCCGTGAAGGCCAGTGTTGGGAATCTGAGACTTCCCAAGATCCCTTCTCTTCGACGATAGGTAGTTGTTGATATGCTTGAGAAGACATCGCTCTGGCGTGCCTGTGGTGCAGTGCGTTTGCTGACCAGAAAATTGCTCGCGGCAGGCAAGAGAAAGGAGCAAGAGCAACCCTCGCCGACCTCACTGAGGGAGGCTTAACAGAGGCTGATCGTCCCAGGGCATTGAGAGATCCCTGCTCAGGCTGGCAACTGCTTCTCTCGCCCGCAGGTCATCGCCCTGATCAGCGCAGCGTGCTACTCAAGCGAGGCACAAGTCTTGCAGCTGTTGCAAGTGCGCGAATTTCTGCAGATGCTCGTGAAGGAGCGCAGATCTCACGGACAGTAATATGCAATGAAGTGCACTAGTTGAAGGTCAGAGAGCTCTTCATGTTGGCCTATGGCGAGGCGCAATAAGCGAAGGCTAGAGATGTGCCAAGATCACTTGTGCATAGCGCCATGTAGCTTGAAACCTAGCTGATGCGCACATGGCCTTCTCACAGCACTACAATGTTTCTTGGACTTTAATGACGGAACCTCACATGCAATGAACACGGGCCCTAGCTTGAAAGACTGAGCTATCGCTGCGTTGACGATCTGCAACTTTGACAGATCTGCTACTTTCGCGAGCTCACGAAGCGGCCAAGAGAGCAGATGAGGAAGGTAGCATTTGGTTGAAATGGCCATGACGATCCATTTCATGCACACAACGACGGCCTTGAAGATTCGTGCACAAGGCCACGCTGCGGATCCCATTATCGAAAGAGGGAAGCAAGATGGCGGACGTTTTTGAGACGCGGCGAGGATTCGCTGGAGGAGGGAGGGCTGACCGTCCTTGTACGTGTGACGCCTCAGAGGACGCGCATCCGCGTTTCACCATACCTCTCACGATCGGGAGGGTTTGGTAGCATTGATCGGGTATCAGAGTGTGCTGTACAGTGGCACGTCTCTCGGCAGGTCCATGGTATACTTGTTGAGGCAGTGGGATTTCTGAGCGCTACACGATCGGGGATTGCTGGGAGATGAATCCAGGCGTCCGCAAGCCCATTCTAAATCGGGAGAGAAATTGATGTGGGTGATGTGTGGTGATATGTGTGTGTTTAGAGGGAGGAAGTGCTGACGTCGGGACGAAGTGGCGTTCATGTGAAGAAGGCGCAAATATAAACTGCTGGGACGAAGTCTTGGCTGAAATTCGCGTGAGCCCCACCAGCGAGACACGACAGCGACGGTCCAGGCGACAAACGTACGACGACACCCAATCCGCACATCCTCCTCATCGCGAGACAGATAGACACGATGCCGGGCTTCCCCAAGCTCAGCCTCGTCGAGGGCGCATTCGAGGAGCTCGCGCTCGAGCTCGCGACATACCTGGACAACGCAAAGGGCGACGACGGCACCACAGTCACAGAAATCACTCCTCTCCTCGCCAACCCGGAAAAGCCAGAGAGCAAGACGGATCGCGATGCCGTGCTCAAGAAGATCGTGACGGCCTCCTCGATTCTCAACGGCGCACCTGAGAGAGAACTGCAGGCGGCATACAATCTGCTCATCCACCTCGTGTCGCACGCCGAAGACCCAGATCCATACCTCAACCGCATCTGCCAGTATCTGTCACAGCCGTTGACTTCATCACCTCAAAACGGCGGCGGTATTGCCCTCGGGATATTGAGCACACTCTTCAACCAAGTCCAGCCGGATGACGAGACGAGGTTCCACGTTCTCTTGGCCATCATCAGCGTGATCAAGAACACGGGCAACTTCGACACTCTCGCACCGCAGTTGAAGAATGTGGACAGCTGGGTGGAGGAATGGGAATTGGAGGCGCCTGAGGCGCGGAAATTGTACTTGGCCATCGCAGACGCTGCGACGACCGCAAAAGAGACCGAGGAGGCATACCACTACCTGCTGAAGGGCCTGAACACAATCCAGACAGATGCCGCGACGCCAGAGGCTCGGGAGCTGTCAGTACGCGCGCTTAAGCTTGCGCTGCAGAAGGAGAAGCACTTCGACTTCCAGGACCTGACCGCACTGGACAGTATCCAGGCGCTCCGAAAGTCCGACGAGACACTTTTCGAGCTGCTCGAACTGTTCAGCACCGAGAACTTCGACGACCTCCAAGACTTCAAGGAGGGCAACGGTTCTTTCCTCCAAGAGCAGAACATAAACGAGGACATTCTCGACAAGAAAATGCGCCTCCTCACACTCGCCTCCCTCTCCGCAGCAGCCCACCAATCCCGCACCCTTCCCTACGCACAAATCGCCAAAGCCCTTCAAATCCCCTCAGAAGACGTCGAATCCTGGGTAATCGACAGCATCCGCTCAGGGCTCGTTGAGGGCAAACTCTCCCAGCAAAAGCAAGAATTCCTCATCCACCGCAGCACATACCGCGTCTTTGGCGACAGCCAATGGAGAGAAGTCGCAGCCCGACTAGACGTCTGGCGAAACAGCCTGCAGAACGTCCTGGCTGTCATCCGGCAACAAAAGGAAGAGTTCGTCAAGGAGAAGGAAGCGGAGTTGCAGAATACAAACAACAACGGCGAGAGGAGAGGATACAGACCCAACAGGGGCGAGCGTAATGAACGCCGAGAGCCGCAAGCCATCGAGGTCGAGTAGCGCTCGTTTCTCCATCGAGTTTGAGGTTTTCTTGAAGCATGGCGTCGGTACTGGGGTTCTGGCAGTAGGAAGGAAGTACTTCGACAGCGCTGCTGCTACTGTCCCTTTTTTTGGTTGCACATCGATGTATGTGTCTACACAAGATGTGGCCGAAAGATGCTAGATATGGCCGAGTTCAGATCGAGCAAGGCATAGACACTACGATGAAGTCAATGAAAGCAAATGTTCTAGACAAACTTCTCTCTCTCTCCCTTCTTTGTACAGCCGCACTAATATGATCCCAAGAGAAAAGAGCAATGCACCTACTTACTCGCATCTCATTTCTCTCCCGCTTATCCAAAAACAAGCACGAAACAATTCTCACACCTTCCCCAAAACATTTACCGACGCACACACCTTAGCGCGCCTTCCCTACAATCAGTCACCCCTCCCCTCTCCCCTCTCCCTTCATCCACCACATCACCGCCAACCACCAACAACCAATAAATCATTGGTGCCACCCCTCCTCTCTCCCAGAACATTCCCAGAACATTTGATAAGTCACACATACCTTAGCGCGGCCTCTCAACGATTCTTCAGTCGACTCCACAATATACATACCTTTCCATTCCTGCCTTACCACCAACAAATTCCCATCTCCTCGTCCTCGTCCTTTGCCACAACATTCTGGGAATGTTTTGAGAACATTCACCAATTGTACATGCGTTAGCGCAGCTTGAGTGTGATTGGACAGTCAAATCTCACTGCACCAATTCTCCCCAAAGTCAAAGCCCGCTGTGATTGCAACGACGTCTGGCAGAGGGCACGCAGCTGTCAATCACAGTGGCAGCCGGAGACTGATGTTATATTTCCATGATCGAAAGTTGTTGCCTCAAATTTGGATCCCGCTACCAATGAGTGACTTTGCTTGACGAAATTCCGCAAGGCCGTCAGCACCTACAAGGACAGAGACGAAGTAAAGAGAATGTATGTGGAAGACAAGTGTGTGCAAAGTACTGTGAAATTCATAGCACAATTCTTTTTTGGTTGGTATCTAACAGCGCAGCACGTGCACTTTTCCCATCCATCTGACGGCGCTGATATGCCAGTCGCCACTCCCAGATGCACCTTTTTCACACCTTTTGTGTGCTCTATCCTTGCCCAATTTCCTTTGAGCCATAGAGCTTCATGCCAGTTCTATCGAGGTATCATCTGAAAGCAGTAGTCGCACGAGCCGTTCAAGCATTCGGAGGCTCTTTTTGCCACCCAAGACTCCCCCGTCCCTCTGTGGGAGGACGGGTCAGTCAAGCGGGTAGTATCAATCCCTCCTAGTCCATGCAAAGCCGCTCGTGAAGTTTTTGGAGAAAACGCCGAATGTCGTGAAAAAGTCACATGCCATGCCGCTTTAGTGGTGTCGTTGTAATGCCCGGAAGTCGTAGAAAACTCCGCCCATTCCCAGAGACCAACGCCAAAGCGCAAGAGCACCATCTAAGTATTAACGCCGTCGCAAGCCGATCTATCAGGTGTCACAGCCCATGAGAGGCCGTGGCAAAGTCGTGTGATGATGTCGTAAATGTACCGTGGCCCGTTGTGACACGATGGATCCTCGTCGCTCAAAGCCTGAGAGCGAGGAAGACCGGGTATATGTCTGGTGACAGGCCACGATACTGCAGAGCGCCGTCTCCCTGCGCCATTGCAATGCAAGCAACGCCCAGGAAGAAAACGCAGTCTATCATGCTGTGGTGGGTATCATGTCGGCACACTCGTGAAGATCCGCCCGTGACGTGGCGAAAAGCAGTCGGAACGCAGCAGAAAACGTAAGAAAGTCCAATCGGAAAATGGGGTCCAGTCGTGGGGTGTGGTGTTCCAACGTCGGAGGGTAGAAACGTCTACCACCAGCTGTTGGATCCAGAGGCTCCGCCTGGGTTGCCGTAGCTGCCGCCGCCACCACCATAGCCAGCACCACCGCCGTAGCCGCCACCGCCTCCGTAGCCGCCACCCATGCCGCCACCTCCGCCCATCATGCCTCCGCTGTAGGCAGGACGCTGGCCACCGCCGTACGTGCGGACGTCCTTCATGGCAGAAGAACCGCGGCCACGACCACCACCAGAGCGGCCTCCGCCACGACCACCGCCGAAGCCAGAGCCCTCACGAGCGATGGTCTCGAGGAAGGAAGGAACCTCCTGGTTGGCCTCCTTGAGGAGATCGAGGAGGTCTCTAACAACTCCACGGTTGCCACGGTTGAAGAAGGCGGTCGAAATACCAGTGTTTCCGGCACGTCCAGTACGACCAATACGGTGGACATAGTCGTCAATGTCGGTGGGCAAGTCGTAGTTCACGACGTGCATCACGTTGGGGATATCGAGGCATGCGAGTCGTTAGCATGGAACTGGAACGATAATCAGAGTCACAGAGAGTACTTACCACGTGCGGCAACAGCAGTGGCCACGAGGATTGGGCAGCGACCGCTGCGGAACATCTCGAGAGCTCGCTCACGCTCACGCTGCGTGCGGTCACCGTGAATGGAGGTAGCTGGGAAGCCTTGGTTGATCAGGTAGTCGGAGAGAGAGTCCGCCATGCGCTTGGTCTCGACGAAGATGAGGGTCAATCCAGCACCGTGAGTGTGCAGGATGTCGAGGAGCACACTACGCTTGTCAATGTCCTCCACATACTCAACCTTTTGAGTAATGTTCTCAGATGTGGAGCCGACACGTCCAACCGAAAGGAAGATATACTCTCGGAGGAAGTCGCGTGCGAGGAGCTGAATGTCGCGTGGGAAGGTGGCCGAAAACATGAGGGTTTGGCGGCCGTCGGTTGGAGGCATGTCCTCGCCCTCGACAATGCGGCGAATTTGGGGCTCGAAACCCATGTCCAACATGCGATCAGCCTCATCGAGAACGAGGTACTTGATGTTAGCAAGCGAGATTCGGCCTCTCTCGATCAGGTCGACGAGACGACCAGGAGTGGCAACAAGCAAGTCGCAGCCACGCTCGATCTGGCGGAGCTGAGAACCAATGTCGGCACCACCGTAGACCACGCAAGGACGAACCCACGAGCGGTAGGCGAACTTGCGGGACTCGTCGTAGATTTGCGAGACAAGCTCACGAGTCGGGGCGAGAATGAGCGAGGTAGGGTAAGCCTTGCGTTGACGAGCAAAGCCACTCTGTGATGGCACGTTGCCGCTGGGGCCATTCTGGAAGGCCTGGGACAGAATGGGGAAGAGGAAACCACCAGTCTTTCCGGAACCAGTCTGGGCACAAGCCATCAAGTCACGGCCGCCCATGACGATTGGGATGGAGTATTTCTGCACTGGTGTTGGAATCTTGTAGCCAGACAGCTCGATGTTCGAGAGCAGGTGGTCGTCGAGTGGTGGGTTCGTGAAGGTGGTCACCGGCTCGGGCACGCCCTGGCCAGAAGCCTCGACAGGAATGTCATCGTACTTCTCGAAGTTGATACCCGTTTGTTGCTTGGTGGGGTCGTTCAGGACACCGAACAGCTCGCGCTCGAGACGCTGGTTTGCAGGTCCAGGGACGTGCTTGCCGTCTCTCCACTGTCCATCTCCTGCTCCGCGGTGGGCACCGCCGCCGCCGCCGTGTCCGCCAGCGCCACCTCCTCCGCTGTATCCGTTGCGGTTGAAGCCGCTCGGGAGCTGGGGCGAGTTGTCCCAATTGTTGCCGCCGGTGCGTGGGGTGAACGTCTGTGCAGCGCCCCAAGTGTTGCCGTTGCCTTGAGGTGGGCGTTGGCCTGGAGCCGGATAGCCGCTGGGATGCGTGTCAGTACGAGTGCGAAAGTGTGGAAATGTTGAGATCGACTTACTTCTGGCCACCTGGAGGTGGGTAGTTACCGTTGCCGTTCATGGCGCCTGGACCAGCGGCAGCTGGCGGTGGGCCACGTCCCGCGGCGCGGAGGTGCGGTGGGATGTAGGCGCTGCGCTCTTGTCCGCCGAAGCCGTCCTGCTGTGGTGGACCGCCCTGAGGCGCGTGCTGTGAGTCCTTGAGGGACAGGCCGTTCATATTGAGTTGGTCCGCCATGCTGGGTGGTGTTGATGATGATTTTCGCGCCGTTGGTTGCAGAGTGAGCGAATTCGGTCGGTGGAATCGCTCTCGTGGAGGTGCGTAGGGATATCTATGTGTCTCGCCCGCAGAAAACGACTGCAAGAAGAGAGCAAAAGAAAGAGGAGGTGTGGTATGGAAAAGCAGTCGTGGGTGATGGAGTGGGTGTTCACACAAGGTGAGAGATGAATTTGTGCGAAGACTGGAGAGAGCGAGGGAATCTTTTTGCTGAGCCAGTGCAACGCCGCTAGTGCCGTCCGCCAGCCAATGAGAGCTTTACCAGCCAGCCCGCGCCTTCCTCTTGACTTTTCGCGACACGTCGACTCCTTTCTCTGCACTTGCTGATATGAGCAGACACACAGACAGACGCACGACCATCCTGCCGTCCGCTGCTGACGCGACGGCGCTGCGGCGGCGACGAGTGCAAGAGGGGGGCCCGCGGTGCACAGAGGCGAGGATGACGTCCAGCGCAGCTCCGATGCAGCCTTCGTCATGACCTCCACGGAGGATGCGCCTCTGCTCCGACATGTCCCTGCACACTGCACACCGACTGGCAAACGCCGTCACGTGCCCACCAGAAACGCTTCGAGTCAGTTCGTTTCGGGCTTGCAGAAGGCTGTACGCTCACTTTCTGCCAGAGGGCTCTGCTGAGGCGTTGACCACACAAAGCTGCCGGCCGGGTATCGTCTCTGACTTCCCTTCTATTCAACTCGTCTCAGTCTGGCGAGCGGTGAGACGTGAGCTATTTCTCAAGGGAAAGGCCAACAAAATTGATGCATCCACTACGCCAAGCGCAAGAGTCACACTCGTACAGAGCAGAAATGCACCACTTTCCGCGGCGCCATCCGTGGATCTGCACGTCAGCCAACAACAGCGAGCCTCCTGTTCACGGCCTGGCCGGGTCGTCGAACGCAGCTCGAGCACAGTGGAAGCACCGTTTGGGAGAAGCCAACCCTCCCATGACTTTCCGCCCCTGTCAAACGCAAAGGCTAAGCTATAATTTGCCTTCGTTCCAGCCGCCATGCAATCAGTGCACGCCACGAGCGTTCATCTTCTTCAAGCACGACCGGAGACTTTCTGAGCTCTTGAAGAGGATGACCATGTAATAGACGCTCCTTCTAATCGTCTCTGTTCCCGTTGTGCACCGTGAAGACGGGGAAGAGCCAGTCTGCTCTCGCAGCGAAATGACGAGCATTGGCAAGGTAGAAATACATACAAGAATGCTATAGTCCAGCTTCTTGCTCGATCAACGCTCTTGCCCTCCCGTCCGTTTGTGAAACCAAATATTTTTGACGATAACAGGAAAGATGAAGACCTCAACATTCGCCGCAGCGTTCCTTTTCGGCTCCGTTCTCGCCTTACCAGCTCCCGTCCCAGACAACGAAGCCGACGACAAGCCCAAATGCGTCAAGCCAAAAGAAGCAGAGAAATTCGTTGATCGCTACATTGGCTTCCTCAGTCGCGCCGGTTCCGACCTTGGTGATGCGCACGCAACAGGCGAAGCTCTCGCCGGCGACGATATCGAGCTGCACTCATTTTCAATCAATTCGGCCAAAGGCACACCTGTCAATGGGAACGGAGATGGACTGATCTCCAAGGGCAAAGAAGACTACATCAATAATGTGTGGGGAACGCATGCACTGTAAGTCTATGAGAGGCACTTCTGAAGTTCAGAATTGACGTATGAAAGGCCGCCACAAGGCATCCATACCCTCTCAGCTCTCGCTGCTTGTGATGACGGCAATTCGAAAATCATCTGGCAATGGCAATTCGACAGCGTTGAAGGCAACACAGACAACCCAGCGCCCATCAGAGGTTTCACTTTATTCAGCGTGGTTCGAGACGACGGCCCAGCAGAATTCAAGATCGAGAAAGTCGATGTCGAATTCGATAGCATTGCTTGGGCTGCAGATTTGAAAGGAAGTTCTGGTCAGCAGCCCGCGCCCCAGCACGGGTATCAGTCATGACCTGTCCAACAGTCGTCATGCCAAACAAGACATCATGACATCTCAGGCATTTTTCGATTCCTATCCTTCTAACGTAGCTATCTATCTACAAAAGTCTTCAAGTACCTCTCTCAAACCTCAACCCCCTCCTCAAATCCCCAAACATCATCACGAACCAATCCCTCATATAATTGTCCTTCACCGTCCACGGCGCTGTCGAGCTCGCTTTCGGATACGTCTTATTCTGTAAATACGTACTCGACATATTCCACAGCGGCTTCGTCTCCAATTTACTTTCTTCCTCTTTCGTCAACGTCGGAACGAATGAGGTCGCTCTCTGCCGTTCCATCTCTTTTACATTTTTCAAGAAGATTCTCACAGCGAGATCGCTGCCTAATGTCCAGGAATTATTCCAGTAGCCGATTACGAGCATCAAATTGGGGACGGACTGGAGCATTGTGCCGCGCCACATGTATTGTTCTCCAATCTCAATCTTGCGATCTTTATCAATCCTCACTTCTGCGCCTCCGAGCATTTGAAGTTTGAGGCCTGTAGCTGTGACAATGACGTCTGCTTGGAGTTTTTCTCCCGAGGTCAAAAGGATGCCATCTTCTTCCACAGCCTCAATTTTCCCAGTCACGACTCTCGCCTTCCCATCATCCATCGCTCGAAAAAAATCCCCATCGGGACAAACACAAAGTCTCTGATCCCAAACCTTATACTTCGGCTTAAAATCCGGATCATATTTCATTCCATCAGGTAACTCCTTCGTCGTAGCTTTCTCCAAAGCTTTCCTCGCTGCGTTGGGGAAGAATTGACTGAAATAGAAGAACAACCAGGCGAGGATGGTGAAGCGCCAGGCGATGATTCTGTAGCCGAGATGGCCGGGGAAGAGGCGACGGATCCAGGTGTCCAAGGTGCTGTGCATGGACATGCTCATGATGTAGGTTGGGCTGCGTTGGAGCATGGTTGTGTGGGAGGCTTTTTTTGCGACGATGGGGAGGATTGTGATTGCGGTTGCACCGCTGCCAATGATGACGACTTTCTTGTTCGTGTAGTCTAGATCTTCGGGCCAGAATTGAGGGTGTGCGATGGCGCCTTTGAACTTCTCTAATCCAGGAATCGTCGTTGCTCGGGGATTGTTGTAGTCGAAGAAGCCTGTGCCGCCGATGATGAAGTGGGCTTGGAGGACTTTCTTCTCGCCATTGACGGTGACATCGAGACTCCAGAGCTGTCGTTTCGAACTCCAGTCCATGCTGAGAACATCGTGGTTATATCGTATGTGCTTGTCGATACCTCGCTCCTTTGCAGATTCATCGACATACTTGGCAATGCCGGGACCATCTGCAATCGGGCTGCTCTTGGACCACGGCCGCCAAGCAAAACCCATGGTGTAGAGATCCGAGTCTGATCGAATGCCCGGATACTTGAAGAAAGCCCATGTTCCACCAATTTCTCCTCGACGGTCCAGAATGACATATGTTTCGTTTGGGAACTGCTGTTCTATTCTGTACGCTGCGTTGATTCCTGTGATGCCAGCACCGATGATCACAAAGTCGAAGGATTCTGGGCTGGGCGCTGTCGATGTAAGTTTCTCCATGGCTCCGATCGTTGCGACTTATGTGTACCACTGAAGCAAGCTGCACTGATAGAAAGAGGGAATGCGAGGACAACGAAGGTTTGAGGAGTAGAAAAATGGATGCTTTCGTACCTATACGAACGCCACGGCTGCGTGAAGCGGATCGGTCCCTTGCTGCATCCGCCGCCAAGATTGCGGGTGCAACTATTGACGGCCACCCGCTCACCTTCTGATATCCTGTATCGCCTGCCGACGATGTATGCTTTCGGCAAATAGTGCCTCGATGAGACCGACGACCTCCTCAGCAGTGTACTCCATGCTCAACTCGCTCTCCTTCCACATGTACTTGATGTCTGCAAGACTGCTTTCCATGATCTCAGCCATGTATTGGAACTTCAGCCAATTTGGACAATAGACGAAAGTCATGTCGCGGTCGTTCTGCACAAACAAGTCCTTGGCCGTCGAGGCCTGGTCGATCAAAATCTTGAGCTGTTTGGAGTCCGCCTCGCCAATGTCCGGCAGGTCTTCAATTTCACGAATCATCTTCTGCGCGATCGATGACAAGAGGCTGCCAACACTCTGCAACAGAGCAGAGGTAGACAGGATCGGTGACCACAATCGATGGACATCTCGTAAGCGGAGGACTGCCTGTTCGACAGCGTCTTCGCACTCTTGTTTAGCAGGTTGCTCCGAGCAGGCACTGAAACCTTGTGCTCCGTCCAGCAGGTCTGACAGAATCGTGCGCTGCGACTCCATCTCGGAACTATAAGCTCTTTTCGCGAACTGCTCCAGAGACTTTACGTCGCCATCCACGCGAAGTCGTGACGCAGGTGGTTGATCAGCTTGCCAAGCCCGAAGCTGAGCCGCGAGGTGAAGGGCATCGTTGTAGATCAGCATGTTTCCCACGTCTATTTTGGCATATGCTGTAGGTGCCGTCGCACGGTATATCGCCAGCCCCAGAGTAGGCAGGCTGTAGAGTCCGGCAGCAGCAGCAGCGAAAGGCGATTCACTTCCTGCAAGGGATTGAGCATCGCTGATAATCTGCTTGAGCAACTCAAGAGTGCCGTCAGGTATGCCGGTGACTGTGAATGTTTCGCGCAGAGTCATCTCGCGATCCGCCACTTTTGAGGATGTGTTCACTCCGTTGGGCCCAGTCGATGCTTTTGCTTGAGGTGCGCCTGATGCAGGTTGCTCATCCTCACCATCCCAGCCCCAGGCTTCCCCTTCATCATCACCGGCTTCACCAGATGGTGGCTGAGCAGTAGTGTCGGGCTCGTCCCAAGCGCTCATATCTTCATCTTCTGGCTGCGAGGCTGACGCCCCCGCGTTCGAAGGCTGCGTGGGCACGTCGACATCTTCGTCCCAAGCACTCATGTCCTCGTCATCAGCCTGCTTTGGCGGAGCTGCAGTCGTTGGCGAGCCGACGCTCCCTTCTTGCTCGCCCCACGCGTCCCATTCGTCGTCCGCACCATCCGCGCCCCCCAGCGCCGCGTGATCCTCTTTGCTGATGGTTTGCGTCTCAACCCTTTCCACAGTCTTTCGTTCTCGAAGACCGGAAAACACCAGGTTGCGCACGTCACCAAGTATAGCTTCACGCCGTTTGGTCAGCCATGTCTTTGGCGCGGACTGGACCCATTCGCGCAAGGACTTGCTACCGTGCCAGCCTAATTGGTCGATCTGATCTGCAAACCCTGATGTCCTCTCGAGAAGTGTCTCGAAGCCTGGTAGATCTTCAATGTCGACTGGTACGGCTGCTTCGAGCCAGTCCTCTTCCAAACGAACATTGATTCGAGGCACTATAATTTCTGCCAGCGGCGAAACGATGTCCTGCTCCAGATGTTGTGCAAGAAAGTTGAATGATGACTGCAGGTCTTCGAACAATGCTTCCACGCTCGTGTCATCACCTTTCCCGTTGCAAGTCAGCTGCGTGCCATCAATGGCAAAGATGAAGACCTGTCCATCTCTGGCAGGCGCGAGTCGTGGACGAAAGACCGCTTTTTCAACATCCTTCGCGAGTTTCCCAACGAGATCGTCAAATACGCCCAGTCCTCGAGCGGCGTTGATGACTGAGCCCAGGCCGTTGCTGATCACCACTCGTCGCTCTTCGATGCTGACTGACACACCATCGCTCCAGCGCTCGTGCACAGTTGTTCTCAGATTCTCGTTGAGTCTCTCGATCCTTCTCCTGAGCATATGTCCAACGCCAGATCGAGCTTCACCAAGATCATTGACGGAAACCTCTTCCTCCGCCTCTTGCAAACGAGCCAAGCCCGCATCGACTTCACCGCTTACCAGAGCATCTTGCACAGAGTCCAACAAGACTTTGACCCGCTTTATTGCTTGCAGTTTCGCAGCGATCGAGCTGTAGACGTTCGTCTCATGTTGCAGTTCCGTGAAGTATTGGCCAGCTTCCTTGACCTTCGTCGCAAAACTCTTAGTCTGCTCGTGCTGCGCTACAATTTGTCGTGCAGTCTCGCGACTACGCAGAATATCCGCCTGAAGCTCTTTGGCTTTTGCTATCCAGGTATCGACGTCGCCAGCCGTAGATTGACTCAGGCCACGTATTTCATTCTGAACTTCTTCCTGCTCTTTGCGCAGCGCTGCACCGATGTGTCCCAATTTGTCGGAGCTCAAGTCTGCCGAAGCTATGTCCTCGTCCTGCGGGAAATTGCCATGTTCGATGTAGTCCAGTACGGCTGGCGTGAGAGCATCTACGGCCATCTTGGTAGATCAGAAGTTGGCATCCTCTGCACGTGAGCGTTTTCTGTATCACGAAGAGCTCTGGATTGTCGTCCAGGTGAGCGGAATGCGCTGTATGTATAGCTGAGCCGTATGCGCGAGTTGGAGTTGAATTGGCAACCTCTCCAGAAACATGGCAGGTGGGGCCTGAGGCTTCGCGGATGGCGGACCGGACTCCGTTGGCGAACGACGAACGACACTGCACGATTGCGCATTGTCTAGAGGAACATCGTCGTGTACTCTTGTCTTCCCTTGCCCAATCTGCGATCATTGGGGACGATTCGACGTCCATCAAAACACGGCCCGAGGAATGCCTGAACTGAGAAGTGGACACCCGCAATTCGCTCGCGTCGGATGCTATCTTTCACGACAGTCCAGCTTGACGCATTTCACTGGATCAAAATCCTTATGGCGAGCAGGTGTCAGCCGGACGATTGATCGAATAGTCTACGATCCATATACCCGCTGACCCTTCAAATTCTCCCTCCCACAAATCCTTATCCTACTACCCCACCTCAAGGAGTACAGCGGGCTCTGCGTCTCGGCCTACTTGAAAGCTTCATCGACAGCAAGCGTTCGGAGCATGTCTTCATTCATTAATCTGGCTACGGCCTCTGCTTCGCAGCAGAGAGGTTCTTAATACCTTTCCTCTTTCCCGCTCCCTTCCGACTCATCCAGATCATCTTTTAGCCAGCAGCATAATCTCGCTCGCAGCCCATTGCGTCGATCTATGCTAGAGCACGCTACAAGACTTTGTCTTCAGGCACAACACAACTCTAAGTGCTAGCATATCCGAGCATCTGCAGGCGTACTTGATAATTCCTGCAACCGTAGTCCTTAGCTAATCCCAAGGCGAGGAAGTTACCGTATTTGGTATCGAATGAGGCGCAAGCTCGCGACTAAAGGCTCGGGTCAATTGACGTTGAAACATTTATGAAGGCCAAGGGGAGCGCTGGAAGGTCTTGCCTGATACACCAGACGTTGGGTACGGACGCGGTGAGATGGTCGATAAAGGGAAGACGCTGTTCGTCCGTTCCATGCACCTCTTCTTGAAGGCTACGCCGACACCAGCGGTCCAGACGTGCTTTGCCGCAATATACAGTGCTGCTTTCGCGGCGCAGCCACCCAGTAGAGCATACACGGACTGCATGAGCATAGTCCTCGAACGCGCACCACCAAGCACGGAATGTGACTCTGGTCGAAGGCTTTCCGTGATCGTTTCCAAGGGCCCGTGAACGAAGCTTGGTAGAGTCACATGGTGGAGTATTACGACTAGTCGGGCGAATCGACCCTGCAGGCCACGGGTAAGGTAAGGGTGATGATGGCTGCTGGAGGTTCCCGTTGAGGGAGCAAACGGACGGTAGTCGTCATCCAAGGGCAAAAGGCGCCTCGATTCCACACCTTTTGAAGGAGGTCTAATGAAGGCTGTTTCGTCTGCTAGAATGGGCGATGATTACGAATGCGAAGGGCAATTCGACGTCTAAGGCAATCCAACCTCCCAAGCTTATCAGAGCTACACAACATGAAGACGATCCAAGCATTAGGCTGCTGCACTCACTAAGAGCGACTGTCTCTCAAGAAACGAAATCACGATGCAGAATGCAGCCTCCATAGAAATCCCTCGTCCCTGACAGATTTAAGAGCGACTGGAACTCCAGGTTGGTGGCATTGAAAGAAGTAATAAATTCGATGTAGCAATGGTGTATCAGTCATCGTGTTCTTTTATGAAATTAAAAGATAAGTGAGATTTGAAGATCACAAGCTCCAAAGCCTTAAGTCACGGAGACAGATGATTGTATTAAGCAGCTCTTCAAGCTTCAGCATTTCACCAAACATAACTGTGCATTTCGACATCATGTAACAGGCCCTGGCCAGGCGAGCGGAGACGATGATAAGCATAGCAGTATCCTCCTTGGGAAGCATTCTCGCTAAAGCAGAGTCGGAGAAGGAGTATGTGGCACACCTTGCCAATTCGGCGCCTAAATCGAGCAAGGTATCGTCTACAAACCGTCCAACCTCAACCATATTGAAGCCGCAATTCTTACCTTCGCGGGCCTCAAGGGTCTGGAATGCTCTCTACGGCTCCAAAGAATTCTTCTCCGGTGAACAGGTTCTCACCCAAGGAATAGGGCCGGTGACCGCATTTTCTATGCTAAATCGTGGGGCGTTTTGGGAGGTAATGAATGCGAGATTGTTGATTTGCAAGCGAAGCGGCAGGTAATGATACTTGGAGGATGATATAGTAACAATGTGTGTTGTCCTAGTGTTATCTGACTGTAGTCGGGAGGCAACGAACCCCTTGTAAGGAGCTGGGATTTCTTTCGCACGCCTAGATGTGAAAATATGGCAGCAATTGTACAGACCGGATAAATGTTCATGCATATTATCGCTAGCAGTGTACTGCTGTATCTGGAGTTTGGAGGACACAGTTGTGCAACTCTGCTTGTCTCTGATTATTGTGAGGACCTGCGCTTTTGAGGAGGTTGACCTTTGGCGGCCTTGCGGCCTTTGTGGTGGTAGAGAAACGCTCGCTCTCAGGGATGATCAGAGGTCGAGATATCAGTGCGTCTTGAGAGTCGTTGGCTTTGACGGGCTTCGGGGCTCGGAGAAAGCGTTCCTGCTGGAGGTTTCTCTAGCAGCACGAGGTTCAAAGGTCTGGAGGCTTTGTAAGATCCGATGGCTTGGAGAGCTTGAGATTTCGAGAAGCTCAAGGTTCAGCAGAGCAGCAGAACCTCTCCTTGAGGTCGCAACGCCTCACTCTTGATGCCTCTGGCGGCCCTTGAGGAGCAGCGTCTTGCCCCCTGGCGGCGGCGCTGGTTTGATCTCTGTAGAGTCACCGTGGGTTTTTTGGGTGACAATACATAACATAGGTCCATGTTGGTGACGCGGTGTGGTGACTCTCACGATCGAAAACGAGTCGATTTGGACAGAGAGCGTGTTGTGGCGGCGGCGCTGGTTTGATCTCTGTAGAGTCACCGTAGGTCATATGGGTGACAATATGTAACGTAGGTGCATGTTGCTGCCGCGGTGTGGTGACTCTCACGATCGAAAACGAGTCGATTCGGGCGGAAAGCGCGTTGTGATGGCTGAGACGCGTCGATGAGAACGGAGAATGGGCATCATATAATACATTCGTATTCGTATCTAGCAGCTTCTGGCTGCGAGCTCCTCATCAGCGTTCTACCACCACAGATTCGCATCGGGAATCGTCTTTCTATGGTGCTAGCACTTGCTGCGAATCGTCGTAATCTAGTTCCCGCACGCCATCCTTATCCACCACCTTCACGAGCACCCCCTTGAAGTCGATAGGCAGCCGCCGCTTCAGCTCATCCGTGCACATTCTCAAGATCTTCATGCCCTGCTCGAAGCTGATGTCTGGGTGGTGATGCTTGTCTAATGTTGACAAGCAGTAGTACTGTGCGTAGCCATGGGCGGCGTATGGGACAGGAGCGCACGACGCCAGGTAGTCGATCCAGTGCAGCGTGGGCTTATTGGTGTGATGGTCGAAGCCGCCGAGCAGCAGATTCACGGTGTAGGGTGAGCGCGATCGCAGGGACTTTGCGAGCTCTGAGCGGACGAAGGAGGCGGTCTCGTTGGGGGTGAGGTCGGTGCCGTTGCGCATGCTGTAGAGGGCGACGTTGGCTTGGACGTATTCGGCGAACTGGACTGTTTGTTGTCAGTATGAGCGCGTGTGAGTGGCTGTTCGTGGACTTACTCGTGTCGCCGGCTTCTCCCACGAAGGCCATGAGTGTGTGCTTGTTCAGCGAGCGCGTCTTGTCATCGGATGCTTTGAGAATGGTTGCGCCTCGCATGGCCGCTTTCGAGGCGGCGATAATGGTGAAGTCCTTGCCGGTGATGCCGAGCAGAACCTCCCTGGATATACATTAGTACATGTAGGCGGCATATCGGAGGGCTGAAAGGTCATACATGATTGCGGTGTTGTTGTGTGTGTTGTGGGAGGGAAACAGTTCAATGGAGTTTATGAAGTAGTTACTCCAGAGGCAGCTGCAGTTGACGCGGTTCGCTTAGCTCGGCGCCGGCTTCCGAGCCCTAACAACTTGACAAGCTTCCAGCCTACAGTGATCTCTCTCGCGGAATTGATCCACGATTACGTCGCTTGTCGAGACAGAGCGCCTCAGCTACGCTATACAAAGCAGAGATACGAGGGTCGGACGGGCACTCAAGTTTTCTGGGCGGAGGAGTACGCAATGTTCATTCCAGTTCCTGTTTTCCTTTCCGGTGGAAGCTAGTGACACTCTTCTTGTTCGCACAGGCTCGCGACCGCATCGATAGATTCCGACAAAACGAAACGAATCAGTGCATGTCTAAGCCGAGACCACGCGATTGTGTGAGCCGTCAACAATCGGAGAGCTGCCTCGACGCCGAAGACACAAGGCGAGTGTTGGCGTCTCTCTCGGTCCGGGCCTCCGCAGCCCTAAACGGAAGCTAGATGGACAGGGTTTAAAAAAGTACAGCTTCACATGAAACTTCGACAGCATCTGCGTTGTGGTGCACTCGATCCCGAAACCAGGCAAGATGGCCTACAAAGCAGAAGTGCGCACTACGTTCGAGCCGAGTCGTGTCATTCAGCCCATCTATACCGGCGGCGCGGTCTCGCTAAGTCAGAATGGGCGCATTCTGGCCTCAACACTGGGCGAAGATGCTCTGCTCACGGATTTGAGTACTGGCACGCATTTGGCGCGCATAGAAGGCGTAAGCATATTCCATAGTACTCAGTGGCGCGGACTGACTGTTGACACAAAGTGACCAGGACGGCGAACCTCTGACCACCATCACACTCACTCCCGATGCCTCACACCTGATACTGTGCTCGCGATCGATTGCGATGCGCATATATTCCCTCCATGAATCACAGCTGGACGATACACTTGATGCGAAGCTCGTGCGAACACTCAAACCCCACAAGACGCCCGTGGTAGTTGTGGCAACAGACAGTACGAGTTCCCTACTTGCTACGGGAGGCGCAGATGGCGAGATCAAAGTGTGGGACATTCGCGCAGGCTATACGACACACACTTTCCACGGACACAGCGGAGTCATCTCGGCATTGCACTTCTTCCAAGTCGATCCGAACGAAGCAGGCGAGGCAACGACCAAGAGCAAGAAGAGAAAGAACAAGCAGAAGAATGATGTTGCGGAGGAAGTACGAGATGGCGCGACAGCAGGGTATAGGCTGGCTTCTGGAGGCGACGATGGGAACATCAGAGTGTGGGACCTCCACAAACGAAAAGCAGTCGCGACACTCGAGAGTCACGTCAGCGTCGTGAGGAGCCTGGATTACTCGCCCGAACAGAGATTGCTGCTCAGCGGAAGCAGAGACAAGACAGTCGTACTCTGGGACTCAAGGTCATGGCAACAAGCTAGCACGATTGCGGTCTTAGAGACCGTCGAGGCTGCTGGGTTTCTCGAGGCGGGTCTCCTCGTCTACACGGGAGGAGAGACCGCGAGGCTTCGAATATGGAACACTGACGATGGACGAGAGGTGACAGAAGAGCAGGAGGAAGGCGCGGAGATCGAAAGAATAGTCGATGTGCAGTGTTCGCCAGATCTGCCATTCCTACTCACGGTGCACGACGATCAGACCTTGATCTTGCGATCATTGGAAGGGCTCGCGAGTGCATCCAGCGCCAATCGTCATCCGCCATTGCCCATAATCCGACGGATCAGCGGGACTCACGACGAAGTCATCGACCTTGCATATGTTGGACGGGATCGAAATCTTCTGGCTCTTGCGACAAATTTAGAAGACATCCGTATTGTCTCGCTGGACACAGACAAGTCAAGTGGTGGCTCACCTTACTTTGGCGCCGATGTTGCTCTTCTCCGTGGTCACTCTGAGATTATTATCACCATCGACACCGATTGGTCTGGCTGCTGGCTTGCCACGGGAGCGAAGGACAACACTGCAAAGCTGTGGCGGTTAGATCCCGAGAACAAATCTTATGAGTGCTATGCCACGTTCACCGGGCATGCTGAGAGCATAGGAGCTGTAGCGCTTCCCAATGGTACACCAGCGCATGGATCGAAGGAGTACCAAAATCCGCTCGAGCACCCGCCGAAATTTCTCATCACTGGCAGTCAGGACAAGACGATAAAGCGCTGGGATATCAGCACGCAACCCGGCAAAGGTCCCAGGGCAGCATACACGAGGAAAGCGCATGACAAAGACATCAATGCGATTGAGGCTTCATACTCCTACACCACTCCTCTGTTCGCATCCGCATCACAAGACAAGACTGTGAAGATATGGGATGTGCAGACCGGCGAGACTATCGGAGTGTTGCGAGGCCACAAGCGTGGTGTGTGGACAGTTGCATTCTCCCCTCCCGATATGCCTCCTTTGACTACGAACGAAAGCGGGAGTGCGAGCACCTCCAAAGGTATGGTGGTCACTGGCAGCGGTGACAAAACCGTCCGGATCTGGAGCTTGACAGACTACAGCTGTCTGCGAACATTTGAAGGTCACTCGAACAGTGTGCTGAAAGTCGTCTGGCTTCCTCCGCCGAACAAAAGTGGGAAGGACGTCAGAGGTGTGCAAGTGGCCAGCGCTGCTGGCGACGGCCTCGTCAAGGTCTGGGATGCACAAAGTAGCGAATGTGCTGCAACTCTCGACAATCATATCGATCGTGTTTGGGCGCTTGCAGTCCGACCGCAACCAGCACGCAGCGAGGCAGATGCGAAAGCCGAACTTCAAGAAGCTGATGAGGAGGCACGTGACAGCACATCACAGCTTGAGTTAGTCTCTGGCTCGGCGGACAGCACACTGACCTTCTGGGCCGATACCACAACGCAGACTGCCCTCGCGGCGACGACGCAGGCCACGCAGCGGATCGAACAGGACCAGGAGCTACAGAACGCGATCCGAGCCAACAATTTTCGAGACGCAATTGTTCTTTCGTTGCAGCTCAATCACCCAAAGAGACTCCTCGAGGTCTTCAGATCGGCCATCGACAATCCTTCCACAGAAGTTAAAAGCCTTACGGGGCGTGTCGAAGTGGATGGTGTCCTCGCATCGTTGTCTGAGAGTCAGCTCTGGAACCTCCTCCGCCGATTGCGAGATTGGAACGCAAATGGTCGAACACATCACGTCGCGCAACGTGTACTATATGCGCTGTTCAGGATATATCCAAAGGAGAAAATCATTGGTCTGCAACGGCGACGCAAGCAAATTGCGGCTGCAGACGACGACGAGGCTCTTGCGGGAGCCATGGCCGAGACGAATCTCCAGGACAAAGTGAAGAGTAAGGAAAGCGTCAAGGACGTGCTCGATGCTCTCAAGGCCTATTCAGATAGACACTACCAACGTCTGGACAAAACGAGTGAGGAGCGATACGTCTTGCTCTGGGCACTGGGACAGATGGATGATGTGAGCACGGCGAAGCTGCAGCTCACTAATGGTATGAAAGGCCCCAGAGATGAGAATGATGTAATGCTGAACGGGGCGTAATACAATTCAAAAGGCACATAGTTGGCTGTGCGGTCGGAATGCGCGGATCCAACGTTCGGTTCGACCACCTGACCCCAATTGCTCTCACAATAGAAGCTAGACCTGGAGAACTGGGACGCATGAGTAATGATACCACTCGGAAAGCGTACTATTGGATTGTCGGCCATGTTGTATTGCCCAATCACCCTTTCCTCTAACGTAGACAGCGCTGGAGGGGCCTGCAAAGCCGCCCCCTGCCGGAAAGGCCAAAAATGCGCGAGCCCAGCATGCACCCGTATCAGGTTTAGAGGACTACTTCGCTGAAGGTAAACAGAACAGGAAGGAATTGGATGGCATTCCGACTTCCAAGGCGATCAATCTACCGCCCCCACCTCCTAAGGCGGGAGGCCCACCGAAGGCTGCGTCGTCTGCTGCTACGGCCGATAATTCCGAAGCCAAAGATGAAGACGCGAGCTAGAGGTCGCCGGCACTTTGGATTCCTTCGACTTGGGCATCGGACGGACCCGCTTTAGAATACGATAGGACTTGGTCGAATTGTCGTGCAGGGACCGCAAAGCGAGAACAGATACGTCAATTCGACTTCCAAGGCGAAGACTTCCTCGTTCCTGCGAATATAGGTCTGAAATCTGGATGTCTAGGTATAGACCTACGGGGTCGCCGCCCGCTGGCGAGAGAATCAAAGCAGGGGCTTAGCACGCGCCAATGGGTTCGAATCGACTATGATTCTCTGCTAGCAGTCACAGTCGCAACTATTGCTTAGTGATATAGACAGCTAGACGAAGATACATATAAGGAAGATTAAGAGGGCACGTTTTGGGACGCATGAGTAATGATACTACTCGAAAAGCGTACTATTGCCCGATCAAGCTCTTTTGCAACGTAAAAGACCGCGAGGCCGTAAGGTGACAAAGACAAATCCGCGGTTAGCTGTCTACCTGTCTACCTGTCCTTATGCCCTTGGCGCTGCTGTATTTATTTTACCTGCCAACAGGTACTGCTACCTCTTTCTCCGCACAACCTCTAGCTTCAACAGCAATTCACGCAATTCGGATCACTTGAAGCCACGCGCTTAGCCTACGACCTCGATCTCGGCGGAGCCGACAACACGGCATTACCTCAGCCAAATTCGATATTGCTCAAGTCCAAGACATTATGAAGTGGGCAAAACTCTTTGCTCTTGCTGCAGTAGCAAGGCAGACTTCGGCAACCTGGAAAAAGCACCACTGGAAGGCAGAGACTACTGGTGCCAACTCAACAGAACTTATACAATGCATGGCCGAGATGAAGGCAATGCTAGAAGCGAATCCAAAAGGTAAGCTCTCGTAATATATTCTGAACTCGACTAACGTCAAGGCAAAGCAAATCCCATAGAAGGTTACCAATGTGCAAACTCTTGGTGGCAAGTTGGGAGTAATCATATGGGGATACCCTTCCACACGAACCTGAAGAGTTTCCGGCAGTGCGAAGACGATCTCGCAGAAGCAGTCTATGCTGCTAGGGACTGGTTCCAATGTCAAGCACGGGTCTATTGGGGTCGCAGCTTTGTAGCTTACTCGCCGCTAGGGCTCGAAGCATGCACAGCCAAGGGCCACGCACCGTGCGAGTATCATTGCTCATGGTTCTGGCCCTACCATTGTAAGTAGACTGATCGTAACCTGTATTTGGCTTTTGGTAAAGTGTGGTACTGCGAGGCGAGAAAATGACCAACTGTTGGGACTGCACCATATATAAACAAAACCCAAAACTAAAACCCGCAGCTTTCCGCTTCCTCCCATCCCGTAGCTACCTAAGCTGCAACTCTGCAACTCGGACCACAACGACTCAACATCGATATCGCGCAGCAAAAGCTTCCATCATCGCCCGAGATCAAGTGAAGTGGGCAGAACCCATTCCTCTCGCTACAGTTGTGAACATTACGACGGCGGACTCTGCGGAGAGAATCTGCCTCCCGTTCACCAGAAGCGCTAAAATCAGAGAAGTCACAGAGTGTGTCACGGAGATTCGAATCATTGAAGACCAAGCCTCGGATTACTTCTGTCTACTTCATTCCGCTGCCAACGAACTTCACCACGTCAGGTCGACTGCCCTACAATGTTCCGAACGGCCTCCCTGACAACCCCTCAGGCAGCCGCCGCCCGCGCCGCGAGCGTGCGGGAAGAATGTCCAATCTGTTACGAGCCGATCGCGTTCCCCATCATGACCTTCTGCGGCCATTGCTTTTGCTACGACTGCGGGACTCGATGGTTCACCATGTCAGATCAATGCCCCATCTGTCGCAACAAATTGTGTCAGGGACCGCCCGACCCGAAAGCAGAAATCAACGCGATCTTAAGCCAGTCTCGGGACGCTGCAAGGCAGGGCCGAGAGAATCAGAGAGAGGAGTTGAGGTTGCAGGAGCAGCGGAGAGATGCTTTCCGAGAGGCCGTACATCGCATTATGGATGCGGAGGCGCCTAATGGGGAGATGTGGCGGATTAGTGCACTTGTGAGGCGTTTGCGCGCTGATCGCTCTGCTGGCCGGTATGAGTTTGAGTATGATGAGGCGCTTGAGATGCTAGGTACGATGCACGCTGAACGGACTGGAATTGTGGTTATCTCCGGCTTGGTGCTCAAAACCGATCTGGCTGAAGATGATGCGGAGGAGGCTGAGGTCGAAGACCTGGACGAAAGTGCAGAGGATATCAGTGAGGAAAGTAGCGACAAGGCAAGCGACAACAGCGATATGGACGCTGGAGAGGACATTGGAGAGGAGAGCGAGGCTGCTGGTGAGGCGATTCTACCTCATATGGAAAGGCAGACTGCCGAGATGAGCCAGTGATACATGAAGGTGATGGTCATACGGACAATCACTTCGCACCCGCAGAGCCCAGGAAAATTCCGTCAATGCGCTCATCAATACGGTCTGTCCAACGATTTCCAGCTTACGCTACCTGGGGATTCAAGGGACCTCGAAAGCGTTGAAGGTATTCCAGGCATCGACCTGCTACTCCTCTGGAAGAAAGACATCGCAAAGAAAAAGCACGTCCATGCTGTAGAGCTTCTTTCGAACGGGAGAGTGTCCGAAACTCGACAATGCAACTCCCTAAACGCACCTACGCCGCCGTTGGAAGCCCGCAAGCGCCTCTCTCCTCGTCGTGGGCCTTCCATCGGGGTAACGAGGCGATTCGATGCGCGTCTGCAGTATCGAGCTTATTCATCCGACCAGCGTATCGGTCCACTGTCTGTACGCTGGAAGGTGCTCGAAGAAGCGTTGTAATTGTTCGAATCATCGAAGGCGCTCCTCGTCTGTCTCGCGTTCTGCCTGTGCTGTTCACTATCGAATCAGCAGCAACGCATTTGTACTGCAATCGACTTCAAAATGCTGCAAGAAACACTTTCTGATGTACAGGAGAAGAGTGGCGGTTTCGTCGCCCCAACTGAAGCCCCTCGCTGTCTCTGTCTGCCTCCTGCAGGCTTGACACTAGCGTGTTTCAACGGTGTCAAACAACGACAATTCACACGTGCAAGCTGGAACAAGAGACTCGGATTCAATCCACGGTCATTCCTCTTCGCACCTACATCAGCACAGCCCGACTGCCAATTGACGCTGTGCTAGATCAACCAGCACTTCGACGGACCTTTGCTTCGACCACATTCTCGCGCGCACTACTAACCATTTTAACCACCACTCAGGACGCACCCAGTACTTATTCGCCAACACCTCTTCCAAAGAGCATCGAATATGCCACTTCCAACATACATCGAGTTCACCAACCGCCACCTCTTCTCCGCAATGGAACAGGACCAAGACGACTACGCCGAACTATGCGCCATTTGCCAAGATCCCTTCTCCTCCCCCGTCGAAACAACCTGCGGCCATCTCTTCTGCTACCGCTGCGCCCACTCCTGGTTCTCCACCAAAGCTACTTGTCCCAACTGCCGTCAACTTCTCTACGACGAATCGACCAGACCTCGCTGGATCGCCACCGTGGAAATCTTCCCCTTCGACAGCCTAGATTTCGACATCGACCAAGATATCGTTCTGGAGAGATTAATCGAACTAACTCCCATCTTCGAAGAAGACGAGATAGAATTCGACGATACCTCGATTCGAGTGGACTATGACAACCTGTTAGCAGTTGCCGTCGCAGCCACTGCTTGGGGATATGAGCAACTTGACGAAGACAATCAGCTGCGTGGAGAAGAGCTCCGTAAATTGCGGAAAGCATATTTTACAGCCGTGAGCAAAGTGCAAGGAGTCCTTTGGGAGCTTCGCGGTGAAGTCATCACGTCAATGAGATTGTGGCGTCTACTTCGTGACCCGTTCTTTGATGAGGACTCGGATTGCGAGGATAGTGGAGATGAAGCAGAGGACGAGGCAGAGGAAGAGGGTCATTTGGAATATAGAGATAACGAGTATGAGGATAATGATCCTTCTGAAGTTGAAGGCGAAGCCGACTTCGACGATGAGGGTTCCGACGAGGATTACGGTGGGCCGTCAGCAGCAGAAGCAGCTCAGGAGAAACTGGACACCGACCTTCAGAATATGCTGTCATACATCTGCCAGTACGCGACGGTCCACCATCAAGCAATCCATTGGTAGTAGGTAGGTACAAGAGTGTAACGCTCCAGATCAAAGGCCTCATGACGTCCTGTTTCTCTGCACAATCGGAGGCTCCAAAGCTCGTGATATTGGTCGCAGCCAAAATCGTGCTGTGAGAAATTGTCTGAGATGAGGCCCGTGATCGTTGGAAAACAGCTCCAGCTCCGAGATAGGAAGGCATTCTCTGCTATTTCGCTTTGCGAAGATGCACAGTAGCACAGCAGAGTGCTATTCGAGACACCAATGCTTGCGAATCTCCTCCAAGCGATATTGGGAACACTCTATCTTCAGCCACACAGACTCATCCTGTCTTGGGGTCACTGGCTGTCTCTACACTCACACAAGTCGGCATCGCATCGGTTCCCATTCTCTCACATTCCACAGGCCTCAACTTCGTCACCTCCCAGGAACCTCAACCGGAAAATCCCATTCCTGAATCTCAAAAACCCCTCTCTCACTCCTCCCCACCCCCCCACCACTCCTCTCCGTCTCCGCATCCTCAACAAGCCCCAATTTCCCATCCGCCCCTCTCGAAAACTCAAAACACCTAAAATCCGCATTCGCAAACCTCCTCTTACTGATCCCAGTCCTCAAAAACCCCGCATGGCTCACAACCGCAATAACTTTCTCCTTCCGAGCATACAAATCCTCCAGACAATGATCTCCTCGTTCCCGATTTGCCTTCTTCGTATACGCATACGGTGTGTTGTCAGATTTATCAGGATATCTAGGATCGACATGAAACAAATCGAGTTCTGGGAAACGTTTAGAAATTTCTTGAAGAGAGCTGCCAGTGTCGCAGGGTTTGTTGGAGTTCTCTATCAATGCATCGACATCAGCTACAACTCTTCTTCCAAACAGAGACATGAAGGAGAAATAATAGCTCACCTTGCCACATCGCATCCACCTCAACCGGCACTCCGCCCTTGATAAGCCAAGCCAGAGCATTCAAACTCGTCTGACAAGTCCGTTTCATAGGACTGGTGATAATCCTCTCCACTCTTAACGCCAAAGGACATTCTTCTCTGAGATGCTTTTCGAGAGCTTTGCATTGCTCAAGACCTTTGGCCGTGAGTTCTGGATCGTGTAGATTCCAATTACTCGTGGCATTGTGTTCAGCTTCGGCATGGCGGATGAGGATCAGTGTAGGTGGCATATTTTGGTAGATTTGCTTTCAAGCAATATCTTGAGGATTTAGGGATTGTTATGCATTGTGGACGATTTTGCGATGCGATGCTCGCGTGAAAGATGAGATGGTGTCGTGTCGAAACGGCATTACGTCATATGGGTTGTGCAGAAGGAGCAGGTGAAGTGAAAGTGTCTTAGGAGAAGAGTTCTTTCTCTAGTCATCACCGAGACAACACAAAGACAGATTGCTGCACCGAATGCCGTAGTTGTCGCCATACGGAGCTGGGATTGATCCGTCGCTTTGATTGTATTCCCGTTCTTCTGAGCAAGCTGCCTCGTCACACAAACCCAATTGTTCAGAGTCGTGAGGACGCGAATCCGGTGGACATGATCTCGGAAAATTTCGAGGTGTTGCGACCACTTCAACCTGGGGTGTAAGATACTTCTTGGAGACTGTTTTACCGATTCGGCCGATCCTGCTGAGAGGCTGCATGGGAGTGCGATGGCTTGTCCAAATGCAGGAGACACTGCGAGAAGATTGCCATGCCGGAGACTCTGATGGCTCAGAACGCTGCAAGATGAATACCTTCCGACAGCAGGTTCCGCTTCGACTCCATCGCCACTTCTTGTGGCAAACAGCGACACAGCCCTCGCACGACTGTGGCTGGTGATGAACCACAAGGCTGCATCGCCCAACAACAATGACAATGCCCCTCTGGAAGCCCTTCCGAAGCACCTCAGCCCAGCCGGACTTCCACCATGAATAGATGAAAGACACGCAATGCACAAGCAGACATCAGTGTCATCGACGCAAGCGCGGAGCACAAACCGACGCCGGACGAAAACATCCCCGTCAAGCCTCTGCCAATCACCATCACAGATCTTCTATCTCTTGGCAAAAAACCGCTGAGCCTCACCCTTGACGTCCCTCTGTGCAACTCTCCGAAGGCACACAATCGCACGGCGAATTGTGGTCAACGTGCTCGAACGATGTCTTCTCCAGCACTGCCATGCCACGCTCTTCGGTTCTCCATATATCCGATTGACGAGCGACGCGCGTTGCCGCAGAATCGTAGCAGTGCAAAGTAGCCGATGCTAATCATCATGCTGGTAAGACTGGACGAGGAGAAATCATATATATGGCTCCTAGAAAAGTCTACTCTCACGGTAAGCAAAGCAAGGCAGAACAGAACACAACGACAACGACAGCTGGTCTGCCGCTCTCTCTCCATTCTATCTACGATACCAAGCAAATCAAAAGAACCACCACCAAACAACAACAACAACCATGAAATTCTACGCCCTCGCCACCCTCCTAACTTTCTCTCTCACATCCGCCATCCCAACAAACAACGAACCCAACAACAACAAGCCCCACATCCGCCGCTCCCTCACCGGCGTAGCCTTCAAACCTCTGAACCAAGAATTCTACCCCGTCCGCAACAACCCACCTTCCGCCAACCCACCTTACGCCGCCATCCCAACAGGCACCGCTCCCTCAATCCCCTACCCCACAGGAACATCCTCCCCGTTCCCAATCCCCACAGGCTCACTTCCATGCACAACCTCCAACTCCATCGTCTGCGCAGGCCCCAAACTCTTCGGCCTCTGCTCCAACGGAGCCGTGAGTTTCCGCCCTGTGGCACCAGGAACAGCATGTCTGAGTGGAAAAATCGTCTCAGAGAGGGAGATTTATGCGATTGTTGATGATGAGGATGATGAAGATCGGGAGGATGGCTGGTCATGGTGGAAGAGGATTTGAGTTCCCCAGGAGATCGAAGAAAGATTCAGTCGAGGACATGATGTGGTATCACGATATTACGATGGAAAATGAAAGGAAGAGAATGGCGTTTCTGCTTCCCCGGAGAGGTTTCCTTTGGCATGAAATGATATAAAGTCATAGAAAGCTTTTCCGAAAGGCACCACCACGCTCAACAAGTTCAATGAGCAGTATAGAAGAACAAGATAGAGCTTTGAAATTAAGTGTTCGGGTATCGCAAGAAATTTCATCACTACAATCATCGCCTCGAACCTTTTCTCTTCCTCGCAGGACTAGAGCCTTTCGCAGGAGAGCCAGTACCAGTCGCAGTAGCAGCAGACCCCCCATTCTCACGCTCGACCAAAGGACTCGTCTGACGTATTGAGTACCCACCACCACGCGGATGATCCAAGACATCGATCTGCACGCCCTGCCCATCACTACTATCGCTACTGCTAGTCTCCACGCGACGAAGTCCACTTCCATATTGCTCTCTCGCACCTCGTTGAGGAGCCAAAGGCGATGAAGAAGCTGGAGCTCGTCGCAGGGAAGCATAGCGAACATCAGTAGGGTAAGGTGGGTTTGGCGGGTGTCCCGGTGCGGGCGGACCACTGACATTGCGTCGCCCCTGCGCTGCGGGCAGAGGCGGTGCCATGTCGTAGTCGTACGCGGCCCATTGTTGCGCAGTGCTCGCTGATCTGGTCCGTGATGGAGGGGCATACCAGTCCGCATCGTCGGGCGGCTGAGATCGAAGAGAGCCCGACGACTCTGGTCGAATATAGCGTGGTGGAATAGGTGGCATTTCTGGCGGCGTCGACTCCCTCCGACTATGCTTTGAAGAGGATCGAGAAGAAGGGTGTGCGCGCGCAAGCTCTGGAGATGGAGGATTGAAGTATGTCACAGGTGCATACATGACTCCGTTCGGACCAGGAATCATGCTCTCTCGAGGAGGGTACCCAGAAAGAGCTTGTGGGTCGGAGTTCTTCCTGCTGGGTGGGTCCTTTTGTTTGGTCTTCGAATTCGACTTGGCTGGAGAACCAAAAAGCAAGGAGGACGTGCTGCCCTTGCGTCCCTTTTGATTTTTCAAGCTCGTGCTGCTGCTGGAACGACTGCTCGACTTTGCTTTTTCCTTTTCTTTCGCTGCCTTTGCCGGGGTGGCAGGAGGTGAGACCAGAGCTTGAGTTGGCGGATGCTCCAATCGCTGGCCATTCCTGCGCTCAAGAGCCGCCATCTCGTCCATGCTCAGACTCACGTTGCCCTTACCTTCCCTTCGTGCTCGCGAGATCCTGTCCAGAGCGGTGTGTAGTAGAGCTTCCTCACGATCCCTCGCAGCATACGACCTGCTCTGCTGGTACTGCTCGTCCTCTTCTTCCGAAATATCATCGTAATACGCTCGATCATCGTACAATGTGCCGCCTCTATTTTGCCGTCTATCCTGACCCAGGTCGTAGCCATCAAAATACAGTTTATCGCTTGTCCTGAGAGATCCAATGCGATCGCTTCCTTCGTTCAACACAACGCCGTGTCCATGTTCATCATACTCTCCCTCGCTGTCCAGCTCGTGAATGGAGCGTGGATCACGAAGCTCCCAATCTTGCGGATATGTGTGCGTGGCTCTTCGCCTGGTCCCGCCGAGAGCTCCGGGTCGTCTTCCCGTTTCGTAGGGCGAAGAGTGCGCGGCAGACGACCTATACCGCCTCCTCGGAGAAACTAGCGGCGACATCTTTTTCCATGAATGCTGCGTGACCCAGGATGGTCACGCCGGATGCGCCAATGAGCCACAGCACAGTGGTGAAGGGAGAAGCCCAGAAGAAGAGGGGCTAATCGATGTCAGCTGGAGCAGAGTAGGACTCGGCCTCGAAACTCACAATGGATACCACGAGCAGACCGGTGTAGAGCTGGCTCACGGTTGCCCGCGCAAAGCCCACGTCGAGGTCACGTCCCTCGAGCTTGCCAATCCCGTACATGCCACCTACGATCAGGACGATCACGAAGGACAGCAGCAAATTTGTGAGCAAGCTGTAGATGCTGAGCATGACGAAGACGGCGGCATAGTTGCTGCTGAAATAGGATAGGTTGTAGTTGACTCGGTTCTGGATCGTGCCAAAGTCTGCTGGCTTGCTGATGCGCTTGATATCGAGGAACTCGGAGATGGGACGCAGATTGGCGAAACGCGATCCGACGGACTGCGACCTGAGGGAGTCGAAACGACCGCCCAAGCTGTACGCGCACATGTCAGCGGCCGACGCATTCCTGCAGCTGCTGCCTCCGCGCGGGTGGATGCTCACTTCAATCGCGATGTCAAGGCATCGATGGGAATATTGATGCGGGCCATGGTGTCTGGACGGCGCGTGCAAAGGTGCGACGAGGAGATCGGGGGGGCGGGTGGTCTTGTAGATTCTGCGAAACACGCGTGATATTAGCATCCGCGCCTCAACCGTGGTTGCAAGCCGCCTTCAGAGGGCCGCATCCGGACAGCTGCAGCGATCCGGCGACGGGTGAACCTACATTGCGTCGTGGGTGGTGACAGCGTCGGTGACAGCGAGCGGACGGTGGAGCGGAACGAGTCGGTGGTGGTGGAAGGCAGAAAGGAGCAGGCAGAAATGCGTTGACGGAAAGTCCCCAAGTATCGGTGGTGAGAAGCAGCGCTGAACTCTCCCGCTGCTCTCACACAAATCCGCACGGCATCCCTGCGCCGCTGCCGTGCCGAGAGGAAGGCCCAGGGTCTGGCTCCCCTGAATTCGCACGTGAAAGAGGACAGCTAGTGCCCATGCATGAGGAGGAGAAGATGGTGAATCTGATGAAGATGGGCAGGACAGGTGGGAAGGAGGAGATACGGTCCAGAAGAGCTCTTTTCACGCATTTCTTCCCCTCGCCCTCGATTCGCCGGGGAGTGTGCAGCAGCAGGGCAGGGAACGCGCTCTGTCAATAAGCTTCTGCCACGACACGAGCCCGCCAGAAATTCGCGCGCCCAACTCGTCGACTGCTGGCCTCTTTGTTGGCCGACGACAGCAGTACATCCACCACGCTCCCCACCGCCTGTCCATAGGCCACAGTCCGCATCGGCACCTCTGCGAAGGTGTGCGCCGAGTCGTCCAGCGCATCGCCCATCATGCCGCGTCTCCACCTATTGCTGCTGGCACTGCTCGTGGCTCTCGCCGCTGCATGGACCAAAGAGGACCACGAAATCTTCCGCCTGCACGATGAGGTCCAGAAGTCCGAGGGCACCAATGCCACCTTCTATTCCTTCCTCGGCATCAAGCCGAACGCTGGGCAGGAAGACATCAACAAGGCCTATCGCAAACTCTCCCGCACGCTGCATCCCGACAAGGCTCGGAGCAATTGGATAGCCAACTACAACAAGCCCACGCCCGTCAAGACAAAAGCTGGAGCCAAGCCGACTGTACATGTGCAGAAAGACAAAAAGCCCAGCCAAGGCGAGATCAAAAAGTTCAACAAGGAAGCCAGCGCGAGGTTCGAGAGATTGTCCTTGGTAACAGGTGTCCTGCGCGGACCAGAAAGAGATCGCTACGACCACTTCCTCAAGAACGGTTTCCCAACATGGAGAGGCACAGGATACTACTACGAACGCTTCCGCCCAGGTCTCGGCTCCGTTCTCTTCGGCCTCTTCGTCTTTGTTGGCGGAGGAGTCCACTACGCCGCTCTGTACCTCTCCCACAAACGCCAAAAAGAGTTCGTCGAGAAGTATATCAAACACGCCCGCCGCGTCGCCTGGGGTGACGAAGGCGGCATCGGAGCGATCCCAGGTCTCGGCGGAGCTATCTCACCACAGCAAAACGGAGGCAACACCCCCGACAACGAAGAAAGCATGCAATGGAACCGCAAGCAAAAGCGAGAGATGGAACGCCAAAAGAAGAAGGAAGGCAAGAACCCCTCCAAAGCCAACAAAGCTCGCCTCGCGCAAAAGGCCAAAGAAGACGGTATCAGCACTCCAGTAGAATCAGAAGTCATTTCTGGGCCCGTCGGAGCCAAAAAGCGGACCGTGGCCGAAAACGGCAAGATCCTCATCGTCGACAGCGTGGGAAACGTCTTTCTGGAAGAAGAAACCGAAGAGGGCGATACTCAGGAATTCCTCCTCGATGTAAGTTACCACATCCCCCAATTCTCCCCCAAAACCCCAACTAACCTATCTCTTTCTCCTCACAGCCCAACGAACTCCCCACCCCCTCAATCAAAGACACTTTCCTCCTCCGCCTCCCTATCTTTCTCTATAACAAATCTCTCGGCCGCGTCTTCGGTAAAACACAAGATGCGGCATTGGCAGATCTCGTGGGCGAGGATGGAGAAGGAGAAGAGAGCGATGAGACGAATGCTTTGCAATCCGCTACCGCGCCGAATGCGAATGGGGAGACGAGGAAGCGGAGAACAAAGAATAAGTCATGACCTAGATCTTCTGGGTCGAAAAAGTTAAGCTAGGATTGTGTAAATCTAAGGATAGAAGAATATAAAAATGCTACAGTATGAACATGAATGCAGTGGATGGTTGTACATTTTGTGAAGCGTGAAGATGTTGTAAATGATTTTCGTGGTATGAGCGAGCTGTTTGGTCTGTCGAAGCTTACCCATTCCCGCTAGAGATTCTGCTGACGCTCACTACTGAGATAGAATCGAAAGACAGATCAGCAAGTCCAGCTCCCCTGCGAGCATGAGAGATACAACGAGAATTTCAGGAACGGCAGAGCTTGGGAGAAAGAACCGAGATCCTATACATGCCAATCGTCTCAAGTCATTTCTTCATCATACACCTCCAGATCTATCTTCAACCTGATCATACTCATACAACCTGCCACGCTATGCTGTCCGAATCGCACAAGGTCTCTAACCCATCAATGTCTCACTCACCCAGCCAAGTACAGGTCTGCTCTCAAGAGCGCCTAGGCCGAAGACGAAAGCGTAGTAGGCCGAATAACAATCTCCTCCTGCGACGTCGTCGAACTCGCAGTACCCTTCGGCGCATCCACAAAAGTCGTCTGCGTGAGAGTCGGCCCCGGTGGAGTTTCCGTAATGACCGTCACACTCGTGACAGTGCTTTGCGTAGGCTTGACGGTGACGAACGCGATAGAGCTGGAAGTAGTCGAAGAGGCTCCTCCGAGTCCTAGACTTCCCAGTATACCAGCGATATCTGATGCCATGGCTGCTGCTTGCGAGGAAGCGTTGGTTGTGGAGGTGGAAGTCGTAGTGGGAGAGGTGGATGGTGTGGCGGTGATGGTGACGAGCTCGGTCGTGATATGCTGCTGCTCTGCGCCAGCTTGACCAGGGATAATGAAGTTGGGGGCGATGTTGATCGCGGGCTGCTGCTGACTGCTGTCACAAACTGCGGCGACAGCAGAGCCTTGGCCTGCCCATGGGAAGAGTCGAGCTGGGGCGTTGTTGTAGAGGCCGATGATGGTGTACGCGAAGATGATGGTGCTTTCGAAGAAGAGTGTGATCATAAGCACAACGAAGAGAGCAAGTGGCATATGAATGCCAGATCTCTTCTTGGGCTCCGGGTAATGCTCTCGCACGTATTCGCGCGGCGTGTGAGGTGGCGGCGGAGGTGGTGCAGGAGGCGCGACACCAAACAAGGTGGAGAAGCGTGGTGGATAATCTTTCTTATCATGGCATTCGTGGTCGTTGAGTTGTGAGGAAGGATAGCCATTCTTCTTCAGCGCCATGTCTGCATCTTCCATCTCCGCAGGCGCTCGTCCGGGCTGGCTGTCCTCGTGCGTCATCTCCTCGTTGACTTTCTTCTCGAAATGGCTGGAGAAAGACATGTTTTGAAGTCGCTGGAGATACGGATATTCGGAAATGCAGTTTGCTGTTCGTCGCTTTTTGTAATAGGAGTCGTAAGTGTCGTGAATGTCGTGAGTGAGCAATTGCCTGCAATTGTCTCGTTCAAAATGTATATGGTATCGTCAAAGGACCCTGGCAAACGACTCTTCAATGCTGCGAGAGCGCCCGGCGCCGTAAAGTCTATTGGCAGTACGCCGTACAAGGTCGTTGTTCCAAGACAAAGAGCGTTCGACCAGCAAAGCAATATTAACAAAGGTCTCGCGCAGCGAAGTGAAAGAAACAGTAACGAAAGAGAAAAACTCGACAAACACGTGAGGCCGTCAAACGCGTGAATGTCGAAAGAAGAGTTGGAAGAGGAGAGGCTTGTGAACGAGTATGCAGACACACTCCGAGACTGCCCTTCGGGGCCGCGTTGCAGACCTACACTTCACGTCTGTGTCGTTGAACAAACACTCGCCTCGGCTATAGTGTGGACTTCGTAGGGGCCAATGGTGCATGCCTACCAGATGTCGTCGGAACAGTTCTTCGTTACACACGGCGGCTTGCGTCGAGCCATCAGTGCCGTTGCTGTAAGCGCTTGGCTGTGGTTGTAGGATGGAAGAAAGCTGAAGCAGATGTCGCGGGTGGGGCTTGTGTCGAGTGACTGCCAAGAGCTTCCATGATTGGTTGAACGTCGCTTCTCTATTTTGGGCATCGAGACCGCGCTTGCTTGCTTGACGCGACACCATGGTCCATAAACATGAACATGAACATGAACATCCTGCCGATATTAGTTGCATTCTGTGCAATTCCCACGTGCCTGAGCAGAGCGCGAAACTTAGCCTGCGAAAGCACATGACAGTATCGGGGTCACCGTCATCACAAGCGCAATAGAGCAGACTTCACCAGCCAACGACCGTGGCCTTTAAGAATAGCGCATTGGAAGAATGCCAGCGGTCCGCCACTGCTCGATGCTCACTTTTGCAAGTAAGATAGAGTCGAAAATCATGACAGCCTGAGGCTCGTGGGATTCGCGCCACAGCCTGTACACATTTCCATGCTCATGCAGTTTACCGGCTTTGAACACTTTCCTCCGCGCGGAGGTTATTGGTCATCTCAGCCTTGATTTTTCTGCGCGGAGGTCTGTGGTCATCTCAGTGACGGACACCGTCGCTATCGCCAAAAGCACGCCGCCGCGCTGCAAAAAGAAACCAAGCCGAACCCCTGGCTCGAACCTTGAACCACCAGAACACTAACAAAACAGCAAAAAGATAGCCCGACGACTCTCCTGCGAGTCGGCAGACATCTTTTAAGGAACCAAGGATCACACTAGTACTCGGCATTTCGCAGTGTGCCTGCTGACCTACGACTGGGGCACCTTTCCTAAGCCATCCTGAAAGGTGGTACCGAATCGATTTCATGAGTAAGCAGGATTGCAGCGGAGTTATATAGCTTGAAACTGAGGCGGCGGCGGTGCGGTGGCTGAGGGGTACGTGAATGGAATGGGTTGGAGTTGAAGGGGTTTCAATCAATGTTGGTGGCGGGGCAGGGAACAGGTAGCGGGCAGCAAGAAACAATGCTTTGACGGGACCGGGAGTCTCAGAATCATTCACATGCTGAGGGGCTCGACCGATCGATTGATAGTGTTCTGCGAAGTGAGCAATGGCTCCACTGAGGACTCTCACATGTAAGTAAGTCACCACGTAATTACATGGCTCACATGCCATCTGCTTGCAGCCATGGACACTCACGCACATGGTGTTGAATTGAGCGCGAAGGATATCTTCCACCGTCTTCAGACATTCCTCTCCCACACCACAACCAAGTTGCAGTTCCATAGCACTGGACTCCCGATGGACTTCAACGCTCTGGCTTCCCAGCTGGCCGGCCTGGGCCCACCGCCTCCGGGGATCAGTAACTCCATCCATATGCCGAACAACGGCATGTCAGAAAGCTTCATGAACCTACTCTACCGCAATGCGCAGCTGGAGACTGAGCTGCGCCTGGTCAAGGACCAGCTCGCACAAGCTCAGCAATCGACCCAATACCTCCTTCGTCTATTGAGTGGCTCGTCGAATCTGCAACCAGCACACAATATGAACAATGGTGCAGAACCGCCCTCCGACACCATTCTTCCCGTCATGCGCAAGGATTCGGTCACAGAGGTCTTGGAGAAGCCGAAGGAGTCAGTTCCTGCGGCTCCGTTAGTCAACTTCGAAGGAACAGATTCGCTTCTTGACCTCAACGCCGTTGAGGCTGCAGCAGGCAACACTGAGCCAGCGTTACAAGCTCACATCCACCCTCGAAAACTGAAACCAGATTCCATCGGCCTCGGGATCTCCCAAACCAGCTCATCTCGAAGCAGCATCGCAATGACCACCACCGAAGAAGCAACCCCTTCGTCGAGCTTCGCCAATCCAAGCTTCAGGCAGCAGCAGCAGCAGCCTGGCTTCACCATCAGACAGAGCGACGGCACTTCGATGTTCGTTCCAACGCCATCAATGGACAACCCATTGGAGACGCCCTTCCGCAGCATGACTTCTTCTGAATCACTACCGATTCTTGGGCACGAGCACCGCAGTCTGGCAGGCAAAGCATTTGTCTGGGTGGAGATGACATCAGAAGAGCTCACTGAAGTCATTGCACGATATGCCAAGGAGCATCCGAGACATACTGCGGAGGAGTATCGCAGCTATTTTGAGGATGTCATTCGGCCCGCGTACCATCAGCAGGAGAGGGAAAGAGCGCAGGCCAGAGAGGCACGTGGAGAGAATGGGAGCGTTGCGAAGGATATCGGGGAGCCGAGCACGAACTCATCTCAATTTGGTGGCGAGCAAGAAGGCGCCGCTGAAGCGTCCAGTCTAGAAGGCGAGTCGTCCGGTGAGCCAATCGAGACGCAGACGTTGGTGGATGAGATTCCGACTGTTGTGGAGAAGGTACCGCCGGAAGTGAAGGACGATGTCTGCAACTCAGAGTTGGCAAACGTGGCTAGCAGCACGTCCGTCCGGTTTTTAGAAGAAAAGTCGTCAGAAGCTCTTCTCACGCGAGCCGGACCACGCTCTGATGAGCAAACGCCGCCAAACGGGCTTGGAGCCGAATTTGACGCGATCGGAGGGTCCTTGGTGGCAAAGGAGCTGGAGTTTGAGGCATCGGGCGACTTTGCTCCCGAACCTGAACTTGTGCTGGCAGCAGCCAACGTGACGCCCAGCACGACCGTCACCAGCACACCATCGACAGCCGACTACCAGCCTCCTCGCCTCTACAATCCCGCAGCTCTCGGCGACGCCAAAATCCTCCAAGCTGAGTTCCAAAACCGAGTGCCATCTCGTGGCCGTCGTCATATGGATCGAAGCTCTCGGCCAGAACGACACGACTCCAAAGTTTCAAACTACCCGGGAGGATGCGATCGCCAAGGCTTCAACAACACATCATACATCACCTATCCCAATGAGATACAGGACCTCTTCGCCACTGCTGCCGAATGCGACGAGCACCCCCAGCGATCGGTTCTGGTGACCAACATCCCGCCCTCCACCACACTCCTCGACGTCCTCTCCACAATCCACTCAGGCCAGATCTTCTCCTCAATCTTCCTCGACACAAGCGGCATGCGCACCAATCCACCAATCTCAACCGCCACTGCCCTGTTAACCTTCGTCCACGGCCGAGACGCCCTCGACTTCACCAAGAACTCTATCCAACACCCTTTCAGCGTTCAACTCCTACCCACAGTATCCCGCCCCATCCACCCCTCAATTGGATCGTCCACCCGCATCCTCTCCATCTCCGACCCAAAGAACATCTGGACCCCCAACGAAGTCGTCCTCCGCCTAATCGCCAACGGAGTCCCTCACCCGCTCAAAGCCGAATCCTCCACAGAAACCCCAGGACTCCTTCTCTTCCACTTCGCCAGCATGCCCGAAGCACAAGTCGCCTACCACGCCATATCCCGCGACTACGCTTTCTTCGGCAACGTCGAAAAAGGCTACTTCAAGGATCCCTGCGACAACAACAAACCCCTTCCTACCCACAGAGACGAAGATCCAGTGCAAGTCCAAGACACTACCACTCCCCTCAACCCTTCTCAGCACCACTCCAAGCCTCAAAAGCAACAACAAAATGTCGACGAGACAGATGGCTCGGAGGTCGAAACCTCCCATACTCTCCTCTCTGTGGACCCAGTCAATCAATCCTCCCTCCTCAAATCTCACTCCCAACTTCCACCACCACCACCGCCATGTCCAGCAAAAACAATCCCCTACTCCTCCGGAATCCACACCAAAATCCCCTACCAATCCATCATGTTCGAAGGATGAGCTGAGTTAAAACGCCCATCCACAATCAACCTCACTCTGTCCCCTCTTTCTACTCTCCTTCCTCCCTCTCCTCTCACTGGGAATTCGACGGATCATCTCTGCTCCACACTGCAATCAGTCAGTCAATCAATCAGAAAGGAAGGAGAGAGGAGGGGGCCACGACGTGAAGAATGAAAGACTACGGATATGGACTGGACTGGACTGGACATGGGCGGAAGGAAGGAAGAGAATAAATGAATGAATAATGAGCGATGTTACGATTGGCTTGAGTTTGATCTTGGTCTTGAGGAAGGAAGGGAGGAAGGGAGGAAGGAGGCGTGCGTGTAGTGGGACCACGATGCATTCTTGGACTTGGAGTCATGGTTCTTAGCGAATGAAATTCAATCTTTGCTCTCTCGGTTTGCGTGCAAGTGTGAGGATGCCTAGTGATGCTTGTTGATCCATCTGTCCTCTGTGGCTGTACTTCCAGCAAGCATGTCATTCAGAAATTGAGAAGACATTGGGGCATCGAACGTGAACGGTAAAAGACGCGGGTAGAAACTCAATGCATTCTTTTTTGGAATTACTACAATTAAACAAGTTGCCGTAACTCATGACCCGTTAACATCTTCATCTCGAATGCATCTTTTCCTGGATGGGTACTGCCGTGAAAAATTGCCGTACCGCTTCGCTCAATGACATTACCAAAATCCATTACGTGTGCCGCACTTTCCATCACAACCCTCTTACATGGCCAAGCCGAACACGGCGAGGAGTCCTGTGACAAGGATACCGGTGCCGTAGTTCTGAGCAAGGTGAATGGCAGCGCTGTCGGAGGCGGATGGAGTAGCCGAGGACTCGGTGCCAGTGGTCTCGCTGGCTCCGGTCTCTTCACTGCCGGTCGAGGAGGAGGTTGGGGTAGCGCTGGCAGAAGCAGAAGAGCTGTCGCCGCCCTCGGCCTCGGTGGCGTTCTGTGTGCCGCAAGTGACCGACTCGCAAGCAGCCTGTCCGTCGCGGTCGTCGGGGTGGCTCAGGACGCAGTTGGTCCTCCACTGCTCGCAGATGAAGAAGGGCAGGGTCTGGGTGTAGTCGGAGATGTTGCGGGCTTCGCCATCGGGGCAGGAGCAGTCGTATGTCAATTGTTCCTGGCACACAGTCAGCGTGTCGGTCTCGACCGGGCTCATTTTGATCGACTCACAGCATCGCAAGTGTTGGTCTCGGCGCGGCCGCCGCAGATCTGTGGGCAAGCAATGGTCTGTCCACGGCACCACGAAGCTCTGAGCGAGGAGGGGACCTCGCTGGCGGTGATGCTCAGGTTGCCCGATGTGGAGTAGTTCTGGGCGCTGGCGACAGCGGACAGGGCCGCGAAGGCGACGGCGAGGGTGGTGCGGAACATGGTGACCGTGGGGACGAGGGTTGGATTGATGGATGGGGGTGGATCTGCTAAACCACAGTGCGCGTCAGTGTCACGGTCAATTGACGCGGCCTCGTTGGCTGGTTGCCAGGCTGATGAGCGCGGCGCGCCGATCGGGTGGTGGACCAACCTTTTTGGGTTTGCAGCTGCAGTGGTCAATGGATATCGATGGAGTTGTGTTGCAGAGGCTCGTCGATGGAGTGTCGAAGCGAGAGTTGGACGGAGCGAGTGCGCGACGAGGGAGTGCTGGAGCGAGGGCAGCAGTGGCAGGTGCGCGGCGGAAGCGACGACTTTATCATGGCAACGAGGAGTGCGAGCGGAGCGTCCGTGCAGCAATAGCTCTCCACACTAACTTAGGTTGCTGCCGCCTCCGAGGAGGAAAACTGCTCTCAGGAACGGGTCTCACTCGTCCAACGTCGGCAGGCGCGTGCGGAAACGACAGAACCATGTTCGAGGTGTCTGCGCTGTTCATCTCACCGTATCGCGCATCTCCAACACGTTCAATGGCTTTCTGCGGTGGCATCGCGCTGTCAAGAGCACGTTGTCGGGCTGCATGCCTTGCATGGCGCTAATCCCGATCAGGTAGGCGGCTCTTCGAAAGCCTGCCACAGCAGCGTTGTGCAAAGATTGCCTGCAGCAAACCATTGCCGCTTGTTTCACAGTAATCCCTCCGCACGTTTCCAGACCGGACACCTGCCAAACGCCTGCTGTGCTCACTGGAAATGCGAGACTGAGTATCACGGGCTGTGGCAACATTGCGAGCATGGGGACGGCGAAGAATCGTGCTCGTTTGCCTCCAAGCCCGCCCAGCCCACCCAGCCAGGTCGTTGCGCCAGTAGTTAGTGCCATATGCACAGGGCCGCTCATCCGGGAGCAGATACGGTCGGACTGGCACAGCACCGGGTGCGCCAAGTCGGAGATGACTGAGGGTCGAGCGGCGGAGCTATTGGAACTGCATCACCCACCATTCACTTGAGCAGTGTTTGGAGTGGTGCATGTGAAGTCGTCGGGAAGCTGCGTTGCTGCAGATCCTGACTCATTTGGGCCCTTCCATCATTGCCCGCCACAACCTGGCCCTCACGCGGGACGCTTTTTTGCCAACGACAAACACAGCAACCGCATCGACATCGAGTGTCAATTTCAGCGTGGAACCACAAAATGACGCGCAAATGCATCCTTGCCACCTCGCAGCTCAATCAGTGGGTGCTCGACTACGACGGCAATCGGTGAGTGCTTGATCTGCCAAGCCCTATTCCCTTTCCCGTTGGAGACCGGCAGAACCACGTGCCATCAATCTCGCCAATGCCCTGCCTGATGCTGATGATGGACGATGCAATTACACTCTCAACCGGACGCTGATTCGCCCACAGGGACCGGATCATTGAAGCGATCAAAACGGCCAAAGCTGCAGGCGCAAGTTTGATTCTCACGCCCGAGCTATGCATTCCCGGATATGGCCTGCTGGACCACTTTCTCGAGAACGACGTCTATGCAAATTCATGGGACATCGCCGCTGAGATCATCGCCCATCCAGAATGTCAAGATATCATCATTGATCTGGGCCTACCAGTCCAGCACCGAGGTTGTAGTTACAATGCCCGACTCCTCGCTTTGAACGGAGAAGTTCTCGCAATTCGACCGAAACTCGACCTCTGCAACGATGGCAACTTCCGTGAGATGCGTTACTTCTCGCCCTGGCCAAGACAACGCGTAGAGGACTATCACTTGCCGAAGGTCATCTCTGCTCTTGCCAAGAACCAGCGCAAGACACGAATAGGTGAAGTTGCTTTCGAGACGAACGATGCCTCGTTCGCATCCGAGACCTGCGAAGAGCTGTGGACTCCAGATTCTCCGCATTCTCTGTACTCGCTGGCAGGTATCGAGATCGTGCTCAACTCTAGTGGCAGTCACCATGAACTGCGCAAGCTCGATACTCGCATCAACTTGATCAAGGAAGCCACTGCCAAGACGGGCGGTGTCTACATGTATTCAAACCAACGAGGCTGCGATGGTGACAGGCTGTACTACGACGGATGTGCTCTGATCCTGAACTCCGGCCATGTGCTTGCGCAAGGCTCACAGTTCTCATTGCGAGACGTGGAAGTACAGACTGCATTGGTTGACCTCGACGAGATTTGGTCCTTCCGAACGTCGAAGAGTCGAGGAATGCAAGCCAACAATGCACATGTCCATAAGCTGGAGCGCATATCCGTCGACTTTGATCTCTGCTCAAGTAAGATTGATCCTCTGACGAAATTGACACCCACAGTGGACCCGCGATACCATCTGCCCGAAGAGGAGATCGCTCTCGGACCGGCGTGCTGGTTATGGGACTATCTGCGTAGATCCAAAGCGGCAGGTTTCCTCGTCCCACTCAGCGGTGGTATCGACAGCTGCGCCACCGCCACCATCGTGTTCAGCATGTGTAGGCTCGTGGTTGCTGAGATCAAGGCGGGGAACAAGGTAGTCATCGAGGATGCCACCCGTCTCTGCAACGGCCAGGATGTTGCGAGCATGACTGCCGAACAAATATGCGGCAATATCTTCATCACAGCATTCATGGGCATGAAAGAGCAATCCTCCAAAGAAACCCGCTCACGCGCAAAAGAGCTCGCAGAAGCCATCGGCTCGCACCACATCGACACCAACATCGACCCGATGGTCAAGGCCCTTCACGAACTCGTCACTGGCATCATTCAGAAAGAGCCCAGATTCAAAGTCCACGGAGGCACCCAAACCGAAAACCTCGCCCTTCAAAACTTCCAATCCCGTTCCCGCATGATCCTCGCCTACGCTCTTGGTCAACTCGTCCCCTGGTCTCTCTCCAAACCCGGCGGCCTTCTCATCCTCGGCTCCGCCAACGTCGACGAATGCCTCCGCGGCTACCTCACCAAATACGACTGCTCATCAGCAGACATCAACCCCATCGGCGGAATTTCCAAGACCGATCTCAAACGCTTCATCGCCTGGTCGGAGACAAACTTCAACCTTCCCATCCTCCGCCAATTCCTCGACGCAGTCCCCACCGCCGAACTCGAGCCCATCACAGAGACTTATGTCCAGAGCGATGAAGTCGATATGGGTTTCACATATGACGAGCTCTCGATTCTCGGCCGTTTGCGCAAGACATTCAAACTCGGCACAGTCGGAATGTTTGAACGTTTAGTCGTCGAATGGAGCGAGCGACTGGATCCAAGAGCAGTGTACAAGAAAGTTCGAGATTTCATGTACTACTACGCCATCAATCGACACAAGATGACAACTATGACCCCCGGACTGTACCTCGAGTCGTACACTCCCGACGATAATCGATACGATCTCCGGCCATTTCTGTATCCGAGGTTTGCGTTTGAGCATCGGAAGATCGAAGGCATGTTGGAGAAGGTAAGCCCGCCGCTGTTATTTCTCCTATCGACTTGAATGTGATTGCTGATTTTCCTGGTGTTTCGTAGATCGAGCAGAAAAATGGGACGACTGCGAAGCACAATGGACAGTAGACTGTTCTGCACGGACTTCTTGCATCGACGCTTGAAGAGAATGGGCCTTGACCAGAAAGCTCCGTACTTTGTCAACATCCAAAAAGGTCGAGCAGCGGGACCGAGTGCGTGGCATTCGACGCTCCTCTCCCTCACACGCCTGATGGTGATGAACCTGTCAGCCAGCAACTTCATATAGACCACTGTCACAGTGATATCATCGCCTTGGCATACAGTAGATGTTTGTTTTCCTGGTTGTATACCCAGAGTCTCAAAAGCCGAGTTTATATGATTTTCCGCGAGCTGAAGCCTGACCGAGAGCCGTACAACCCAACAACATCGAGGCATCTAATAACATAATCCAAGTATAACAGGGAGCTAGCAACATCGGCAGAAGAGTTGAATGCGTCAAATGTCAGTCGCGATGTCTAGCGGGGCCCATTATTGCAACGCAAGTCCGAGTGCGTCTTCAGCAGGTGGGACAGAGAAATAGACTTTCGCGGATCTGGCTGCCTTTTTGCGCCAAAGACTCCAAGGCTGATGATTGTCGATCTATCTAGCGCAGTTCCGGATCTCCGGGTTGTCAATGTTATGCCCATTGATGCCAATAGTGTAGTCAAACCATGGCTCGAGCGGGATCAGCTGGCTGTTCATATTGCGCGGTACATAGAAGCCGTAGTAGTTGCTAGACGGCTGCGTAGAGCCCTAAGTAGCGGCGGCAGTCGTGCTTGGATCTGAGTCCAAGGGTGATATGAAACGGTTCAGCTCGCTCTGTCCCCTTTCTTCGCAAGTGTGATGTAGGTGGTCTTGGATCTGGATCTTCAAGGTGTGGAGAGTAGTACAGAGTAGCGTTCGATTCGATAAATCGCTGTAAGACAATTTCTTGTTGGTCGATTGCTGCCTCCACAAGGTATCCTTCTCAGACGCTTCGCACGTGCCTTGACCTCGTGATGGCATACGTTGCTTGGTGCTTTCTCTCATCAGAGGCCACTCGCACAAGTCCAGACGGTACGCCAAACATCAGGGGAGAGATCTCATAAATCGTATAGACCAAGCGCGCTGGCGAGCTCTGCATTGCAACTCTCCAAAATGACACTCTCTCGATTCAATTCAATTTCTCTAAACAATACGTACAACAAGACACTGCACTCCGTCAATTCCTTACACAACTCTCCCGGCAACACTCGCCGTACTCCGATCCTTAGTCTGTACCTTCCTCAACCCCTTCCCAAGTTGAATCTGCTCCAACAAACCACTTCGATCCGGCGCTCCCGCGGGCGGAGCAGCTGGTAAAGCAGCACCACCCATATCAGGAGCAGGCGGAGGAGGCGGGGGAGGAGCACCAGCCGGCATAGGAGGTGGTGGAGGCGGCGGAGCAGCGCTGCCTGGCATGGGAGGTGGAGGAGGAGCTCCGCTAGGCGGCATAGGTGGAGCAGCAGGAGGTGGTGAAGCTAGCCTCTCAGTACCAATTGGAGCAGGAGAGCCCGGACCCGCAGATTTCGGACTATCCATAGCAGAGAGCGGTCTCGGAGGCGCCATGGTACCGAAGAGGATGGAAGCGAGTTGTTTCGCGCTACCGCCCTGAGGTTTATCTTCGTCGTCGCTTTCGTCATCGGAGGAGTCGAGGACAGACCAGTCGTCCTCGTCTGCAGGTTTCGATCGTGTTCGAGCGGGAGCTGCTGCAGGATCGGGGAGAGATTGCTGCTGCTTGGCCAGATCCTGTTGCGTCAGACGATGGAAGGGGTTCGTGTCGACTTTTTGGCTGGCTTCGGGAGATGTGACTGCTGCTGGTGTGGATGCAGCGGAGGATTGTTGGTTCATGCTGCGGAAAAAGGGGTTCTTGGATTGCTCTGGTGGGCTGGCGACAGCCGCGGGAGGACTTGAGGCAGTATCTGGCAACGGCGGCGCTGGAGGTGCAGCCGGTGGCGACGCGGGTGTTTCTTGCAGTTGCGGTAGCACAGTACTTTGAGCTGGGGTGCTCTCAGTCGGCGTATCCTTGGCATCGTCGTCGTCGCTGGAGTCGTCGTCGAGGCTCTCAAGTTGAAGGCGAAGCTGACGCTCGCGCTCTTTGGCAGCCTCGATTTCAGCACGCTGAGCGGCCAGTCGTGCTTCCTTCTCTTGTGCTTCTTTCTTTGCCGCCTCGCGCCTCTTCTTCTCCTCGGACTTCTTGGCTTTCCCGGCTTTGACTTGCTCTTCAAGAGCTCGGAGAGAAGCCGCAGCCTCTTCTCTTTGCTGCTGGAGTTCTCGCTCTTGGCGTGCTTCTTCGTCCCTAATGTGCTCGTCAGTAATGTACAGTGGCAATGATTTCAATCGTGCAACATACTCCATGTCCTTCGTTTCAGATGCAAGTGCCGCTTCTTGCTCCTTCAGCGCCTGCTCCTTGATCTGCTGTTCAGCCGCCTTGGCCTCTGACTTGGCCTGGGTGTCACTCTGCAAGCTCTCACTGCGATTCTTGCGAGGAGCAGGAGGGGGTGGCTTGGTCTTGCTCGAGGCAGCTGGCGAGGGTGGAGCATTGCTTTCCCCGTTAATCCTCGCTTGTCGCTCTTGTTCGCGCTTTGCGTCCTCTTCTTCCGCACGTCGTAGCTTATCGTCTCGCTCCTTGCGTTCTCGCTCTGCTCGCTGGGCAGGAGTCTCGCCACCAGCCTTCGAGGGTGCTTTCAGACCAAGCGCAGCCAGGCGCTCGGCCATACGCTGTTCAGCTTGTTGTTTGATAAATGCAGCACGCTCTTCTGCCGTCTTGTAGCTAGAGTACGACGAGCCGGTAGTCGCTGGCGAGGATGCAGCGGGTTGGCGAGATGAAGCCGGGCTTTCGGTCCTTGTGGCAGGTGTGCTTGTTCGACTATCGTCCTCGACGGGTTTCGCTCTCGTCTGGTTGCGCTCTTCATTGCGTACCCTTGCAGCTCGTGAACTGCGCTGCAGATCGAAGATGAAATCCTTGACTTCATCTTCGACTCCGAGACCATCTTCCCATCGTCTCCGCTCGTGCTCATCAGAAGCACTTTCGGCGCCCTCCTTCAAGCTAGATTCGAGGCCTCTGCTGTATTCTGTGACACTCTCCTCAACATCCTTCACCATCTTCTCGTTGTCCTCGCGTTCACGCGTAACTCTCTTGCTCTCTTCTTCCAGACGTGCAGCGGCAGCACTGCCGTCGTCGGCAACTTCGACCTTCTTGCCACTCAGCGCCGCTGATCTCTGCTGCATCATCGCCTTCGCCCTGGCTTTGAGACGATCGCTCTCGGTCACAGCTCCACCAGGGCCAGTACCAACAATAGGTTGGGCAGAACTGGGGTTCGCCTTGGCGTCCTTCAATCGGAAGAGCTCCAGTTGCGCATCCGCAATTGCTCGTTCGCATCTTCGTACATGGCTCGCAAGCTCTGGCAAGCGATCTTGCAGACCACGAAGCTGCCTCTGCAGAGAACGCCTCTCAGCATCCGAGTCTCCTGTCTTGAAAGCACTGTTCGGGTGTGTATCAATGTCCTCTTGCATGCGCCGAATGCGCCTGAACAACTCTTCCGCCTCTTTCCTATCTTTGCGGTCAAGAGCATCCTCCTGGTCCGCTTTGCTCTCATCTTCAAAGTCCATTGCATCAAGCAGGACCTGTTTCTCACGAATTGTTTTCTTCAATTGTTCGACGCTCATGTCGTCTGCTGGGACACTGCTGGTATCGCTTGATGCTGGGGATGAATCTCTTCCATTCTGGCCAATCCTACGTCTGGCAGAAGATCGATATCCGACCTCGTCGTCGTTGTTTCTGAACACTGTGGCATCTTTGCGCGCACCAGCGCCGTTGCTGCGGAATGAATGTCCCTTCAGATAGCTGACACCAGTTTTCTGTGGCTGTAAGAATGCCCCCGAAGACTTGCGCTCTTCTGCATCACGACCAAGCAATCCTTTCATTGCGTCGATGCTGGAGTTGATGTTCCGAGTCGAGGGTGGCACGAGCTCAGGTGGCAGTTGGGCCGGCACTGGATACCCATTCAATGCTCGATAGATCAAATGCATTGCAACAGCAAATTCGTCCAGGTTCAATCGTCCCTTATTATGCGGATCGCTCAGCGTCCAGATGCGCTCCAAGTCCTGCTTGTTCAGCCCAGACTGCCCAAAAATCTCCAACGCTTGATTACCAGAGATGTAACCTTTGCCAAAGCCGTCCCACGCTTTGAACATATCGTCGTAAATCTTCTTCTCTTCCTTTGTGACGGCCCATGGCACAGTTGCGTTGCCTCGGAGTCCCTGTGCACTGAAACCTGCCTCGCGACCTGGTTGTGGCATCATCTGCTGCTGGAGCGCCTGGAGATTTGGCAGACCGCTTGCTGGCGCGTTCACGAGACCCCATTGTCCCGGTCGACCAGTGGGTTGAGCATTAAGCGGCTGCGCCATCGGATATCCGGTCTGCTGAGGAGACAGGCCGGTCGGCTGCGCGGACACGCCTGGCGTGAGATTGTTGCCGAACCCAGTGGGCATGGGAGGCATTGGCGGCCGAGGACCTGTATAACCCTGTGCTTGAGGCATATAACCTGTTGCTTGAGGTTGCAACTGTTGCTGGAAGCCAGTTGCCTGCGGCACCTGAAATCCTGTAGGCTGTGCCGTGAGCTGGCTGAGCAGCTGTTGATTATTCGGGTTTTGCGCCTGTGGCTGCTGGATCTTTGGTGGCTCGCTAAAGTTCGGCGCATTCGAGGACGGAGCTGAGGGCGCTGATGTATCATCCACATTGAAGGAGATGATGTCCACCATGCTTGATACCTCATTCTTGATCTTGTCTGGCAAACTGCCCGGCAATGCCTTACCTATCATCGCGAGGTTGCACAAGTACATGGCCAGCGCGAACTCGGGAAAGAGCAGCTGGCCTGACTTGGTGGTATCCGATAAAGTCCATATCTGTGCCAGGTTGTTGCCATCCAGCTTACTGCGGAGCAAAATGTCCTTCGCCTTATCTCCACTCAGCGCCTGATCTCCGCCCGTCGCGCTCTTGAACAGTTGCTCGAACTTGGCTTGATCTGTAGCAGTGATGAAGCTCAGTCGGATATTGGGAATCTTGCTGCCTGTCTTTGCCGGGACTGGTGGGGGTGCCTGAGAGGCGGCGGACGATCGAAAGGAGTTGGCGATATCGTTACTCGTCATGCCCGTCGCTTGCGGAAGCATTGGCTGCGGTGGTTGCTGAAAGCCTGTAGGCTGCGGCTGTTGAAAGCCCGTCTGCTGCACATTGATCTGCGGCGGCGGTTGCTGAAAGCTGGTCTGCTGTGGCTGCTGGTAGCCCGTGGGCTGTGGTTGCTGGAATCCGCCATACTGCTGCTGCTGTTGTTGCGGAGGCTGCTGTCCTGGGAAGCCTGTCGCTTGAGGCTGTAGTCCGCCTGGTGGGAATCCCGTATACTGTTGTTGCAGAGGAGCTTGGCCGAATCCCGGTTGCTGCTGGCCATACTGCTGCTGCGGCTGCTGTTGCTGCTGTCCGAAGGGTGAGGGACCTCCGCGAGCGCTGTTGGCGCCGCCGAGGTATGAGTTCGAGCCGGAAAACATGATGGACGCGCTGGGCGATGCTCAGCGCAGCGACACGGACATAGACAACGCGCAAGCAGAGGGAAAGTTAGGAGGATGAGCGAACCTCGACCGCGCATCCGAAGCTGGGCTGTGACACGAGGCGAGCTCCTTGGCGCTGACAACGTCATCTTCACCACCCTCTCCTGTTCAAGTTCTTCACTCCCGCAGCAGTGAATGCTCCCCCGTCCGCTGACAGCCGGTCAGCACGCTGAAATCATGTACGAGCAGCGCCTCAATCCGTCAGACACTGAATTCGTGCAGCCGGACGGTTACTCGCCGCTGCTGTGCAACATGATGCGATTTCTCCACAGACTCAACCGTCCATGGGCATTGTGACCTATCAATACCTCTTACCTATCAATTCTTCGAGACGTTGGGGTTTGGGCACTGCATGCGACGACATTCGAAGTGGTAGCAACATTCGACTGCTCAGTACTGGTCTCGGCGTCGGCTCGGGGTCGCACATCTACAACATGCAATTCACTAGTAACTACATGGCAAAGTTCGACAAGATCACACTTTGTAAAGTTGAACTAGCTAATGCGTAACGACTGAGCAATGTACTGCATGGTTTACACCGACATAAGCCTCCAAGATTACTGGTCTGCTGCCATTCCTTCTCTGCAAAGCTTCGACGCCTTACGAATGGTCCATGATGAATGCCTCGATTTCCTCGTTCCCGGCCTCCCATACAGCCTTACGCCTCTCGTACTGGCTCGTCTCGCGTTCAAACTCCTCGAATCTTCTCACGAGGTTACGATGGTATAGCTCTGCTTCGCCGAACTTGTCCTTCTTGCGCAGGACCAAGTCTCTCTGCATCTGGCGGTACTTCTTGACTTGCTGCTTTTCTTCCTGCTCGATCAAGTACAGGTTACGGCGGTGGTACTCCTCAAGCATTTCCTCGGTCCCTCGCTCCTGATCAAACATGTATTGCGTAAGCTGCTGTACACATTCAACCATTTGGTTGACCAAGCTCAACTGTCGTGGCTTCAGAGACAGAGCCCACTCTTCCGCGTCGTTCAATTCCTGCGGCTCTCTCGTGGTAGCTCTCGAAAAGGCTGCTGTAGGTCTCGAGATCTTGTGGATTCGCTCAAACTGCTCCTTCATGGAATCCTCGTGCGCTACCAGAGTCGCTCCAAGGCTCTGCTCTTCTTCCGCAACAGCCGTCGCACTGCCTTGGAAATCGTAAATCTGCTGGCCAAGCTCTCGAGCAATTGAGCGACCACGGGAGGGTGTTGCAACCTTCTTCGGGTTAGGCAGCTTCTTCGGCCGTGCCACATCAGACTGAGCCATAGATGGCATGAGACTCGCCGGCAATGGCTCAACATGAGCTGCAGTAGCAGAGATCTTTGAACCTGCAACCTTTCTGCTGGCGAACGCCTCGACTTTGGGCTTCTGGACAGAAGAAAATTCGGCTTCCTCTTCTCTCTCCGTACTTGAGTCGGCATCATCATCTTCTGCGTCAAGCAACCCGTGAGCTACGGCAGTATCTCGCGGCGGTCTTGTGAAGCTCTGATACGGATGACGACTCAGGATGCCCTCCAGATTGGTCATAGGACTCGCAATTGCGTCTTCTGTTTGTGCCTTGCTCTTGGTGAATGGATCGTGGAGCCCTCCAATGCTGTCTCGCTTCTCAAGCATCTTCCTCGACAATGTTGGCGATGCTTTGAAACTGGTAAGCGCTGTAGATTCCGCTCGAGGCGAGGCGGGAACTGCTTTCATGTTGCTCGACATAAGGTGTGGTATCTCTGGCTGATGCGATAGTGGTGCAGTATACGCATTTCCACCACCAATATCGTCAACGGCATCGTCCATGCCAGGTGTGTCATGCCCTCGCCGCGTTGGTTTGCCGCTTTCTCCCAGACTCTGCCGCGAGTAGGCATCCAAAACGGCTTCTTCGCTATTCTTCATGTTCATCCCTTCAGGAACGGGACTGCCATTCAAATCCACTGTTTGCGAAGCTTGCGATGCGTTCCTGGTTGGTTTACTGGCCAGTCTCCTCGCCCGAGTCTGCTTCCGATCGGCGTCTCGCGGCACAGGCGCTTTGCCTGCTGTCAGGATACGCGGAGGATCCACGACGGTTCCGAGATCTGCGGGCTTGATTTGCTTCTTTGCTCGTTTGGACGGCTCCGCGACAACTGGCGCAGATCTCTTCAATTTGGGCTTCTCTGCAGCTTCGACTGGCGCTGCAACGTCCGCAATCACAGCTGGCGCAGACATCTTCAATCTGGGCTTCTCTGCAGCTTCCACTGTAGGTGCGACATCCGCAATCACAGTAGGCACTGGCTTTTCGATGGCATGTGGGGGAGACGCGACCTTGTCACCAGGGGCATCGCAGTCGACCAGAGTATCCCCTTCGTAGTCTTGATCTTCCTGCGGGAGACTATCGGCTACTACAGTTGTGGGTCTGGGTGGACTTGGCCCAATGGGCTTTCTGGAAAGCTGCGACTTCGATGGACCACCTGTCACCTGAGGAGGTGCGGCAGTTTGTTGAAGTTCCTTGGAGTCAACGAACATTTGCTCCGCATGCTTTGGAGGCTTGGGGTAGAGTTCTCTCATCGCCTGGCTGAGATTGTCTGCAACGTTACTGGACTTGGGCTGCGCAGCTCCGGCACAATGCTGAGTGCTCGCGCCAATCACGGGTTCTTTCTGCTTCTCCAGATAGCGCTTCTTCAAGGGAGACCCAGACGAGCGACCGTGACGACTGCTTGGAGCTCCCTTGGCGTTCCGTGGTCTGGGTGTTCTGTGTTTTGAGACGCCTTGATTACGAGGACCGGATTTGCTGAAATTGATGATATTGGCTTTTCGCGTAGAGCGCTCCATCATGCCGAACAGATCTCTATCATCAGCTTCGTCCCATTTCGCAGCATTTGGCGGGCTAGACTTGACCGCTGGAGTCTTCGGAGGCGCACCTCTGGGAACTGGTGGTGCCTGTTCCACCACTGGGCTCTGCTCGGGCGGAGGGCTTGACTCGTTGTCGTCCGAGAGGTCTATGGCATTGTCTTGCGTGGAGCCGGCCGGTAAGACGTTCGGTGAGTTCTGCTTCTTCTCACTTTGCTCCACAACTTCTTGCTCTCCCGGCTCCCCATCATGGCTGGGTCCAGCTGGACGAAGCTCCGAGCCCTCATCCTTTTGTAGCAGTCGGAGGGACTGCCGCTGCCCTTGCTTGTTGATGGTATCGTCGGTGGTGGCAGGCTTCGGAGCAGGATCTGCACTGCTAATGGCTTTCGCCTGCACAGGTCGCTCCGCGGAGTCGTTGTTGTCTGCCTCTTGCGTGGCGCTGAGGCTGCGCCGTGCCTTCAGTCTCTCAACTGCACTGCCTTGCTTCGCTAACGGAGCTTTCAACTTGGCGCCCTTCATTGCGGAGGTCGTTGCCTCTGTCTGCGAGGTCGCGCTTCGAGTCTGCGAAAAGATGAGGCTGGCGTTGCTTTTGTCGCTGCTGGTGCGGACTGGTCGCTGCGGGTTGGCGACGGGCGCTGGGCTGGTGTCGTAGTCTTGCGACACGTTGATCGACTTCTTGGTGTTGACACACCGCAGTTTGCCCGCCATGGTGATTGACGTGCGGAAGAAATGAAGTGGTGTGGATTGAGAAATTAGTTAGTGAAGCGCGCCTGCCTGCTTCAGCTGAACAGAACGGGGCAAGAACGGCTGCAGACGCGTCAGGCTCTCAGTGCTCTCAATACATTACCTCTGAGACAGCGCAGACCTTTCTGATCGCTCTGATCTGCCAATTCGATGGCAGAAAGAGACATTGGGCTTGAACACGCGTGACAAGTACGCACAGCGAACGGGATCCGACGCGGGTTTTGCAATGCGCGCAACGCTCTGTGATGCACGACATGTGAGTAACGACATCTTGCCTTTGACTCGATCTATCCATTGCTACCGGCCGCCGCCTTCTCGACGTCAATATCCAGTGCCACTGTTTTTACATTCCTCCTGGCTTGCTCAGATTCTCCATCAGATCCATCATCGCCAATCGTCCTCTCACCTTCACCAAAGATCGGCTTGAAGAAGTAGTCGTAGCTCACCCAGGTTGCCTTGAAGATCGCGCCCAAAAGTGCTTTGAACCAGTTCGGCAGCACGCCATGCTTATCTGCAAACAGCTTGCTGATGGTGAAGAGGAAGAGAACTATCGGCACAAATGTAGCCGCAAGCAGCACTTGGCCCATCCTTTGCCGCACAGTCGTGATTGTGAATGGGTGTAATGAGTGCAAGTAGTCCTGATACTCATATGGCATCTCACATTCCGCAGCTCCATCTGTGATGAGCTTCAGGTAACGCGCTGAAGCTTGCGCATAGCTTTGGTCAGGTCGCTGAATGCGGCCTCCGTTCTTCGGCGGCTTCTCACCCTCAGGTACGGCGGGGGCAAACAGAGTATGGGCCTTGAACGGCGTCGTGGACGGGTGTTGCGGGACAGTGGCTCGTGGGTCTTCGCTCTCCAATGGATAACAGTCTACGAGAATGTCCTTGTACGAAGCTCCACCTCCTTCTGTGGCAATGATGTGTGCATAATCCGCAGCAGTCACCTCATAAACCACGCCCATCAACCCTTTGTGCCACCGGTCTTTCCTGTAGTCTTGCTTCCGACTTAGATCACCCAATAAGGCCGTCTCTTCAGCATCTCGTCCTCCTTGTAGATCATCGTCCTTCTCGACGCTTATAGCACTGTTCGCAAAACATGGTTCGGTATAGGGTATTCCGGGCAAGTCAAATGTCATCCGAAGAGACGGCACTTGTACATTGATCTGTGCCAGTGGCTTGATCCCACGGCCTGACTTGGGATCCTGGAACTTCTCATATGCTAGGTTGCTCCCGTAGGCCAGGTATAAGACTGTCTCTTCTTTTGACGATTCTCTCGCAAAAGTTTCGACATCGTATGCTCTATCATTGAACGTCGCAGCCAGGCGCTGTGATGAAGGACGAGGTCGTCGAATCTGGCGATCGTGTGGGTCCTCGTTATGCTGTGGAATTGACGAAGTGTGGTCGCTGATGGCGTGACAGGCTGTGTAAGCTGAGGCCGCGACGCGATCATTGGCTCCCATGTCTAGGTTCCTAGTCCTGGTCGCCATGTGGGTGAGCGTCACTCTTCGACCTATATGTGACTTCGAGAGGAGTCTGCAATGAATATATCTATCCTCATCGATCTCCTATAGGTAACTGGGGGACTCGTAGGCACCGGCGAACAAAGCGGCCTTGCTTATCATATCAAGACGTCAACTGTACGCAGGAGCGGCCCAGTCGGAGCTGCATTGTGCCGACCGTCCTTCTCTAACGCCGCTGCATCGGGAACGCGTTTCTGGGCGAAACACCGCGCGAATTAGAGCAACGATGGCGGAGAAGCCTGAAGCAACAGCAAATGGTAGCCACGGCGCGGATGAGGCAGATCTGGCAAAGGTGTGTCGGCGAGCGCGATGGGAGACGGTCCAGAGAGCTGACAGTGATGCAGGCGTTTCAGGAGCTAGCCAAAGGCGAGAGGACAGCGACCGCACTCGAGAATCAGCTCAGCGCGATGGAGGCGAAAATCGAAGCGCTCCTTGAGCAGGCGGAGCAAAATCAACGAGCGGTCGAGCAGGCGAAAACGCAGCAGGACTCAGATACGAAAGACCCGCCAGCATCATCTTCAGCATGAAGCACCAGCAGGCAAGGCATGGGCTGGCATCAGAAGCATGAACACTCCAGGCCTAGGGCATGACACTGAATACTGGACGAGAGAGGCTAGACATGATGCAGCTGCTCAGAGTGACACGAGTGCTGCGCATGCTGCCTGGAGTTGGTCCACGAAAATTCGGCGCACGTCTGTATCTACTGGCAAGCACTCAGAGGGTACGAATCGTCCTCGACCCTTCTTGGAGAAGAGAAACCTGGGCCATCGCTGCTCTGCCTACAGCCCGCCAACCGTCGTTGGCTTCACCCCCTCGTGATGAGCCTCCATGGCCAAGGTCAAGTCGAACTTCCCGGAAGCATCCTTCTCTACTACGCCGACCTCCGTGATGATCCCATCGATCAGCTCTGCGGGCGTCACATCAAATGATGGGTTCCACACGTCAATACCCTTGGCTGCAATGCTCACGGTCTCGACCTGGCTGAGGTCAAGGTCCACTCCATCGAACCTTGGTCCCTTCACGAACGTCATCTCCTTCCCGGGTCGCTCTTCAATCACAATATCGGCGCCTGATTTTGTGCTCAGATCAATTGTCGTTCGTGGAGCAGCGACCAGGAACTTGACTCCGTGGTACTTGGCCGTGATCGCAAGCTGATATGTGCCGATCTTGTTCGCAGTATCGCCGTTAGCTGCCACGCGGTCTGCACCAACGACTATGGCTGCGATCCGTTGCTCGGGTCCTTTCAGCCGCAGTAGAGCTGATGCCATGGAATCGGTGATCAAAGTGGCTGGAATATTATCGTGCACCAGCTCGAACGCCGTCAAGCGCGAGCCTTGGTTATACGGCCGAGTCTCCGTGCAGAAGGCGTGCTTCAATGACCCATTGGCGTGAAGAGAACGGATTACTCCGAGTGCAGTCCCGTAGCCTGCGGTTGCAAGAGAGCTGCTCACACAATAAGCCAGAAGATCGCACATCGGATCTTGTCTCATACCCAGTGTTGCAATGTGTCACAACGCTCACTTGGCCCCCACCCGCGGCCTTTGAGATCCATTCAGCCCCATGCTTGCCAATACCTTCGTTGTCGGAGACGTCAGCAACAAGCATTTGTGCCGCAGCGTCGCAGTAGGCCTTGGAAACGGATGCGCCGCCTGCGCCGCCCTCCTTCGCAGCAGATGTCACAATCTTCTTCAGCTTGCCAGCAGCATCAGCAAGATTAACAGCAGTCGGTCTGCTCGTGACCAAATAGTCCAACTTCTCGACAATGAAAGCCGCCACTTCCTCAGCATTGCTAGAGAGTGCGGAACTCGTAAGCTCAACAGCAAGTGCCAAAGCTGCAACGATCGCTATGGCCGGGGCTCCACGAGTTCGCATATCTTTAATCGCATGCCATCCATCTTCGGCAGTTTTGATCTCGTCGTATTCTTCTTGATGCGGTAGCTTGAGCTGATTGAGGATTTGCAGACTCCCTGGCTGGTATCGAATCGCTTGAAGAACCATCTTGCCTTCACTGAGAAAGGGCTGGAGCATATGGAGTCACCACAGATGATGAGTTGTGCTTCTTGCCATGTTGAATGTGAAACTTTTAGCGTCGGCAGATCGCGTCATTGGACTCCGATTGGCTTCGAGGAGGGGCACGTGTTGCACCACCTTCCACCGGGAAGCAAGACAGGAACTAGAATGAACATTGAGTGCCCTTTCGCTCCTCATCCCTCTGCCTTGTACAGCGTAGCTAAGGCGCTCTATCTCGACAAGCGACGTAAACGTGTATCAAGTTCGCGCGAGATCGCAAATTGTGCATGTTTCCGAGTTTCCATTTTGCTGTCCGCAGCCAGACAGCTTTCACATTCCCAATCCAACTGCAACGTCACTTCAAGGCGAATCTCGTGTCAGCACTAGAAGTCGTGTACTGTAGCGAGCATGCCACTGCGAGAGCCTCTACAACAGTTCGACGAACGTCAACGAGCGATTCGACTATCCGGAGTGTTCGCTGAGAAATCGGAGTGAGATACACATGCCAGCGGACCGGCTACGGACGGCACGAAACTGGGCGTGCCTCGGCACGCCGCATCGATTGCACAGCAGCACGTATCTCAGCCTATATGTGCAATAGCGGGTCGGACGCCTGCATAGATTTCAATGCTGATGCCACTATTCTTGCTCCGTTCCACATCGACACGATATCGCAAGCACAATGCCTTCCAAGTCCACCTATCCAGACATCAACATACCTGATGTAGGCCTGTGGGACTTTTTGTTTGAACGCAAAGACCGCGACTTTCCGGATGATAAAGGTCCGTCCGTTGACCCAATGGCAAGATAAGCGATTGTACTTAACGTTTTCGTAGTGATCTATGTTGATCCTGCCACTACTCGCTCATACACCTATGATCAGACGAAGCAGACTGCGATTGATTTCGGCAAGGGACTGAAGGGCTTATGGGACTTTCAGAAAGGCGATGTGTTGGCCCTGTACACCCCGAATTGCATAGACACACCAGCAGTGACATGGGGTGCGCACTGGGCTGGATCGATTGTGTCTCCGGCGAACCCAGGCTACACGGTCGATGAGCTAGCATATCAGCTCAAGGACAGCGGAGCCCAAGGACTGATCACACAACTTGCCCAGCTAGACCAGGCAAAAGCTGCGGCGAAGAAAGTCGGCATACCCGAAGATCGCATTGCGCTGATAGGTGATGAGAAAGACCCAGCAGGCAGAGTGAAGCATTTTTCCAGCATTCGCAACATTTCCGGCACTCAGAGATATCGACGGGCCAAGGTTGATGCCGACAAGGACCTGGCATTTCTGGTGTACTCGAGTGGAACCACAGGATTGCCAAAGGGCGTAATGCTTTCCCATCGCAACATCGTCGCCAATACACTCCAAGTCACGGCTGGAGAACAGCCTCTGTCATGGAAACCAGCCAAGGGGAGACCAGAAGGCGATGCTATCCTCGCCTTCCTCCCATTCTTCCACATTTACGGACTGACGTGTCTGATACATCAGTGCTTCTATCGAGGCTTCAAGTGCGTTGTTCTGCCAAAGTTCGACATCGAGGCTTGGTGTCGCATTGTGCAAGACCACAAGATCACAATGTCTTACGTGGTTCCGCCTGTGGTTTTGTTACTCACAAAGCACCCGATTGTCGACAAGTACAATCTCTCCTCTCTGCGCATGATGAACAGTGGTGCAGCACCTCTCACCCGGGAGCTGGTAGACGCCACCTACAAGCGGATCGGAGTTCCCATCAAACAAGGATACGGTCTTTCAGAAACTTCGCCCACAACCCACACGCAACCCTGGGATAGTTGGCAGAGTGCTATGGGCAGCGTAGGCACATTGCTACCCAATATGACTGCCAAGTATATGTCTCCAGAGGAGAAAGAAGTGCCCCAAGGAGAGGTTGGAGAGCTGTGGTTATCCGGTCCAAACATCTTCAAGGGATATCTCAACAACGTCGAAGGAAGCAAGAATGCCCTCACAGAAGACGGATACTTCAAGACCGGAGACGTGGGCTATCAGGACCAGAACGGAAACTTCTACATCACAGACCGAGTCAAAGAGTTGATTAAATACAAAGGATTCCAGGTGCCGCCTGCCGAACTCGAAGGCTATCTGGTTGCACACGAGAAAATCGACGATGTCGCCGTGTTGGGTGTCTTCAAGGAGGAGCAGGCAACGGAGGTGCCAGTAGCATACGTGGTGCTCAAGCAAGGCATTGTTGCAAGCCCTGCTGTGGAAAAGGAGATTGTGGATTGGCTCAACGCGAAGGTGGCTAATCACAAGAAGTTGCGGGGTGGTGTCAAGTTCACGAATGAGATTCCAAAGAGTGTGAGTGGGAAGATTTTGAGGCGGATGCTCAAGATTAAGTATCAGGAAGAGGAGGCGAAGGCAGCTGGGAGGGCGAAGCTGTGATCTTGTCAACTGGGTCAATGTGTTCGAAGAACTGCTTGTCTTTTTCTCCAAGTCCCGTGCACTGATACTCCGAACCACATGCCATGGGCTCTGCTCGGGGAACACAGCGTTTGTAGACCTTCGGCACGAACTTTGCTACCACATCTGCCTCGCTTCTCGACACAGGGTGCCATCATCATCCATGCCGTCGTAGCTCAAACATGGATAGTATGCCGCACAAATCCCAACATCAGAAACATATGATCGGTTTTGCGAGACCATGTAGAAAGAGCATCTCAGACTTGTAGTCAATCATTTACATTTCTCTCATGGTCTGGTATCACATCAAACAGACTATATACAAACCTCCCCCACATCACTTCATCTTACCATTCTAAGCAGCAACAACCCCATTCAACCCCCCATGCAACCAATCATTCTTAATAATATCCGCAGCCTTCTCCGCCGCAGCATAAACACTCGACACAATATTTCCAGAAACATGATTCGGGAAAATCGACGCATCCACAACCCTCACATTCTGCGTACCCTTCACAATCAACTTCGTATCAGTCGCATCACCCATGGCAACAGATCCGCAAGCATGATACTCGCTCATACAAATATCTCGCACGGCCTCTTTCATCTGAGCGGTGGAAGTCATATCGGCCTTGGCATCAGGGAACACACGCTTTGCGATCTTATCGCTGAGGTGAGGGGATTGTTCGACTTTGCCCAGCATTTTCAAGCCGGCGGCGAGGGCGTCGACATCGGCCTCGTGCTTCAGGAAAGCGGGGTCGACGGCGGGGTGGTCTTCGGCTTTGTTGGTTTTGATGTGCACGGTTCCTCTGCTGAGAGGGTATTGCAAGCACAGGGCTGCGGAAATGGCGTATGGGTCGTTGATGGGGTCTGCTGGAGGTGGGAAGACGCCGGATTGGTCTTCGATACCCTTCTCCATGCCGAAGCGGTTGGGCACGAGCACGACTTGGAGGTTGGCGGATTTGTCGTCCTTGAGGTGGGCGATCGTTTGCTTGTATTGCTTTTGCTGGTATGGGGTCAAGTTTGGAATGTCGGCCTCGATGCTCTTGATTGTGCTGTCGAGCTCCTCCTGCGTGGCGAATTGCTTGAACGGGAAGAAACCCTGCATGGAGCAGACGCTGGTCAATGGGCCGCCGCCAGTCTCAGCAAGCGCCTTCTGGGCTTGCTCCATGACGGCTGGGTTGTGAATCGCCTCGAGAGTCATGTTACCAGGCTTGACCTGTATGCAGAAGAAGAGACAGTCAGCAGATTTTTCGTGAAAGATCAGGAATGAGATCAGCGCCACTCACCTCCCAGCAGCCCACAGTCAGGACGTGATCCTGGAAGTTCTCGCCGATGGCCTTATTCTCAATCTTTGGCTCAACGCCTGCGGCGCGGAGAACATCTGGATTACCGATACCAGACAGCTCCAGCATCTGTGGAGACTGAATGGCACCACCGGCCACAATTACCTCCTTCTTAGCGCCCACGGTGTGAGTCTGACCACCATGGGTGAATGTCACGCCGGTAGCGCGAGTGCCATCAAGTTCGATGCGCTGAACCATGGCGGAAGTCAGGACGTGGAGATTTGGTCGGTGAGCGTTGGCTTGGAAGTAGCCGCGAGCAGCATAAGATCGGAGTCCCTTGTTTGGTCCTGAGCGGGCAACGAGACCGAGGGTGTTGTAGAAGCCCTGCAGGCTGTTAGTACTCGCATTGCGATTCGTCTGCATTCAGCACATACAATGTGATCACCCGACCATGGGTCCACAGGCTTCTTATCTAGACCACAAGCCTCGTCGCAAGCCTTAATGAAGTCGTCCTCAATTGGCAGACGCCAGTCGTTGAACGAAGTTCTGGCTGGGCCAGAGGTACCGTGATTCTCGCCAACGAATGGATAGGTCGATCGCTCGGTGACGCTGTCATCGATTGGCTCGAGTGTCTGGTGCTTGCGCATGTACTTCATCATTTCGTCCGCATTCCAGCTCTCGTCACCAGAGATGATCGCCCAGTCATCGTAGTCTTGCTTGGATCCACGAACGTCTGTACCAGAATGTCAGCTCTTAGCCATGGAAAAGCCACTAGGAGGTCGTACACATCATGTAGTTGATGGCAGAAGATCCACCGAGTGCCTTTCCTCGAGGAATGTGGTGTCGTCGGTTCTTGTTGGCCGTCTATCATAGCAATGCGTCAGTGATTGATCGTGACATCTGGCCATGTCTCTACGCACCTGTGGCTCAGTCATGAAGCTCCAGTCGTAATCTGGGTTGTTGAAAGTCTGCATAAACATGACAGGGCTGTCGACGAGCATATCACCGAGCTTTGAGGTTCCAGCCTCGAGGACACCGACTTTGATCTGTCCACATTGGTCAGCTATGTCTCGTTCCCTATGCTTCCCATGATCGTCTGAGACTAACATCCTCATTCTCGGTCAATCGAGCAGCAACGACGAGACCTGCTGTACCGCCACCGGCAACAATAAAGTCATAGTCATGCTTCAAGAACTCCTCTGGGGAAGTGTGAAGTGCGGGAAGGTCTCCGTTAGCTGCCATATTTGCAATAGATCAGAAATGTATGAACAGAGAAAGAATTCGGCTTTGCAAAGGAACCGTAATCTGCTCCCATTCCTACAGCAGCTCTCTTATACATTTCCAGCTCCCATCACATGGGTTCTCGAATTCCGCGTACTCCATGCAGGGCCAAAGTCTAAGAAGGTGTTTTGGCGACCCCGCCTTACCTTGGTGGCACTTTTGTCTGTGTCCATTGGACCGCGAAGGACGGCTTTCGCGACGGCTCATACCAGAAACAGTGATAGTCTCGCCTGAGATTCCGAACTTGCTAGCATTGGTTGATCCTACCCCGGACCGCGTGACGAGTCTTATGGGGCGTCCAGTGGGTGAGCTGACTGATGAGGGCGAGAGATCCTGACGAAAACCGCGGGGGGTATGTACGAGCGTCGGTGCAGCTGGAGTGGCCTCACCTCGCAAGTACATCGGGGCGAGGCGCTCTGGGTGAGTGAAAGTGACAGATCTCATCCTTCCCACAGGTGGGACAGCTGTCGTGTCCTCTTCGGATCTAGAGCTCTGTTCCGATGCATGGAGATCTTTCGGCTGTTCGCAATTGTCTCGCCACACCAGCCGACAGAACTGGGAACATGGCTCTGGGAGACGCTGTAGGTGGCGGGCCGTGGTGGCTAGATCGTGAACGGCGCAGGTACATGTCTGCACTCCGCGATTTATGAAAGGCGGGGTCGAAATCTTCATGAGAAGAAGCTGTCCGAATTGAGACAGACAGCGGAATAATGCGCTGTCACCACGTGATCAGCACCTCGGCGGCGCAAAAAGCCTGTGACAGTGGATGCCAGCGCGGAAGGATGCGTAGGATGCGCCATGCTGGTCGATATTGTATCTCTATCCTCATGGACCGCTTTTGGTTTCTAAGAGTGCTATTCAGTACAGTGCTGTTGCACCTCATGCTCGCTTTTGGTACTCTCACGCCTTTCCACGAAGCATGAGCTACTTCGCCAAGGATTTTACAGTCGATATTCATTCCCAAACGCCCGAAACTCCGCCAGCAAAAGTACAGATCGTTATGCGTAGACTGGCACGGGCCTGGTATTTCAAACTCTTTCGATAGGTCCTGCATTGCCTTACGCAACGGTAGCCGTCTTGCTCTTCTTAGCAGCTGGGACTTCCGCCTGCGCGTCGGCAGCCTGCTCGAGTGCCCGCTTCTCCGACTCCTTGTTAAGTTCTGACTCGGCCTTTGCGAACTTCTTCTTCTCTTGCTCCGAAAGCTGAAGGAGTTCTCGCTCGCGATCGGCACTAAGGTTGAAGTGGAAGTTTCGGATAATGCTGTCCGCGTCATCAATGGCAAGCGGCCTCACATCGGCCAGAGCCTTGATCTTGAGCGTGACAGCCTTGATCTGCTCATCAGTCATGGCCAGACCAAGTTGCTCAGCACGCGACTTGATCGCATTCCATCCAGTGAGTCTTGATGCGAAGTGCACATATCTGCTCATACCAAAATCGGCGGGGTTGATGATCTCGTATGTGGATGGGTTGTTGAGAATGGCCTTGGCGTGGATACCAGCCTTGTGGGTGAAAGCACAGAATCCGGTGATGGGGTTGTTGAAAGGCACGTTGATCTCGACGGCCTCAGCGACCAAGTCCTCAATCTCCTTGATCTTCTCCAGCTTGTACTTGGACTTGACGTAGTCACGGTCTGCCACAATCATGCGGGCCATGAGACCACCGAGTGGAGTAATGCCGTTTCGCTCACCAATTCCGATGACTGAGGTGTCAATGTGTGTAGCACCGGCTTCGAGCGCGCAGTATGCGTTGGCGATGGCGCATCCAGTATCGTCGTGGAAGTGAGTCTCGATATCACAGCTGACCACTCCACGCAGGGTTCGGACCAAGTCGTACACTTGTCTCGGAGTAGCGCATCCGACGGTATCTGCAATACCAACACGGTGCACGCCGACCTTATCGACAGCACTGTAGATGGTGAGCAGATCCACCAAGTTGCTTCGGAACGAATCCTCGGAACTGAAGCGGATCTCCTTGCCCTGCGACTTGACGTATTCGATAACCTCAATCGCAGTGTTCTTGATGTATGTCATGTCCTTGCCGTGGCTGTGCTCCATGAGATGGCTGCTCGTGCCGATGACAACGTCGACTCCGTCCACACCGGTGGAGACTGCGAGCTTCGCATCGCTCATGTTACATCGCACGTGTGTAAGGATCTTGGCCTTCAATCCAAGCTTGCAAATAGCCTCGCAGTCCAATCTCGACTGCTCACTTGCCGCAGGAGAGGTCAGCTCGATGTAGTCCACACCGAAATCGTCGAGCGCCTTGGCGATCTTGATCTTGGTCTCGGTGTCGAAGTAGGCGTTGGCGAACTGCTCGCCCTCTCGTAGCGTCGACTCAATGATCTTGAAGTTCGACACATTGCTCAAGAAGTCCTGCACGGGGGCGTATGGGTTGCTGGCCTGCGGTCTTGAGGCTTGCTTGGTCTCGATGGCTCTGTCGTGGGTCAGTCCTATGCTGCGCGCGAGCCTCAACACTCAAAGGGCATGTGCATACCGATAGCCGTCGTGGTTGCCATTGGCCACGCCGTTGCCATTGGCGTGGCCGTTCGTGGGTGCCTCGTCTGGTGTAGGACACATTGTGCGCGCGGTAGCTCCGCTATCGGCGAGGGTGCGAGCTCGAGGGATGAGAGGGATGAACGGAAGTTGAAGCTCGTGAGGTCAAATTCCTCGATATGGTAGTGGTATATGTACAGGTGGTGGGGTTGTCGAGTGGTGAGTCAAAGGTAGAGTCAGGACAATGGGATGAGAAAGAAAGTGAGCGCGAGTGACGACGGCCGTGAGCGCATTGACATTAAATTTTGCCTGGAGACCAATGCAGCGCGGTCGGTTACTGCAGGCCAAGCCGCGGAGAATCTGCTCCACCCTCTGTGGTCAGCACAAATTCGGAAAAGTCGCAGCGAGAATCCGTCCGTCATCACGTGGGTCTCCCTCAACATGCTGGGCTTCTGATCTCACGCTGCATGCTGGTGGATGTCTTCATCATTCATTGTTGGCCTTCGACAATCAGCATTGTCTCTCCATCTCTAGACATGCCAATTTCGATCAGAAGAGGCATGTCGGGGTCTATGGTCTGGAAGGGGCGGTGAGCACGGCAACGCGCATGTATTGAATGCAGAGGCACATTGGCGCATGAGCGATCAGCAGCTGAACGAAAGTCTGCATCGAGTTCGCAGGAGGTGTTGTGCATCTCCGTGTAGAAAGAGCTAGTCTAGTCTGTAATGGATACATGCAGCACTTTCTGCAAACTGCTGTACGAGAATGGGCAATGCACTGTTGGGACAAGCTGTATAGTTGGCATATGGACGCCTCTATGCAGGACTGGGTATCACGGTACGACAAGCGTTCCCGAGGTCGTTTCTCACATTGCTAGCTCGAGAGCCCTCCATACAGGCACCGTGGCAGGCACCACAGTCATAGGCCCCGGCATACAGTGAGAGACAGACGTCCGAGACCAAACGGGCTCCGAAAGCCGCTCCTGGATGCTTCTAAAGTCAACACAAGGAAGTCCTCCAAAGCATATGATGCATAAGCGGAGTGGATGAAGACACTTCCTCTAGCTGCGAAAGATCGGCCGCCGATGGCTGGGTGAAGGCGCCACTCTTCCAATTAGCAATGCGAGATAGTGTAGAGGAGCGTGGAGCATTCTTCTCAGATGTCCGGCAACGAGGCCGTGGTGTACCATCTGGGAAGCTCCTGTGCTGCCCTACGTCTCTCGTGCTTGCTCCGCCCACGTCAGACTGCTAACAGTTCGGGCTTGGTGTCGACGCGGAAGGAGTCCTCTTGTGGACTATCGTCACAGCCATGACGGACCAGCTATTTGCCTGGGGCTCACGACCAGCAGCACTTCCCGCCTGCCATCCTACCTGTTCCTGACCGAGGCGTTAAAAATATATGTTGTCCCTTCGGCTGCTCGCAAAGCTTTGTATTTCCTCCGCCCGTGGTCAAAGTAGCAGGGAAGCCATCAGTTATCCCCCGGGGCTCAAATTCCTATTTCGATCGGGCTGAGGGCGTGGCGGGAGGTAGGTCAAGGAGGAGCTGAGGGTAGCTGTGGGAAGTCGATGTTGATAATGGCGGCCAGCGAAGAGGAGAGCATGTCTCGACGTCCGGAATAGGGCGCTTGAGCAGCGTCTTTGCCCTTCTGGTCTGTAGGAGCATGAGCCCGGCACAAAGCCAGTCAGTGGTGCGAGGTCAGCGGCGCGAGCAAGCAATGTCTCTTGCCCGTGTTGTGTGTAGGATGTCTTGACCTGCTGTGGTAGCCACAAATGCGACTCACCCGCGAGCTTCGCTCCGCTTACAAGCGGAATCAACGAGATCAATCCACGGCAGCGTCATGGTTCCCGTCGAACGAGCCAGAAATGCCCTCGGCCCTTCCATTTCAAGCTGCCGTTCTGCAATCTCGTGTAGAATGCCCACCGACAGCCACGCTGGCGGATTGGGCTGGCTGCCAGTACTCGCGAAGAATTGCCTCCAGAAGCACCACCGTCCCTCGAATAGCAATGGAGATACGAGAAACAAGTCTGAAGCAAAGTCAGTGGCATGCGAAGCGACCGGTACGAGCTTTTGGGCACCGCCGCGGCGCCCACAAGCCCTTTGCCCAAGCCATAACGAAACAGCCTCACCGAAAGACCAAGACGAGCTTTTGAGCACCGCCGAAGCGCCTCATACCTTCCTGCCCAAGCCATCACCAACACAGCCTCACCAAACGAGCAATCCTTCCGGCGCCCGACCCAGCAGCATCAAGTCCGCCCTACCGATGGCGTTCAAGTATCGTACCCAATCCGAAGCATCTCACCTCGCCGCAAAAGGGAACCGTACCAAAGAAGAAAACTGCCTGGGCAGCAAAGAGCAAGAACAATAACGAGGCAAGACCAAAAGCTTCCACACAACCGGACACCGGACCGGACATGGCAGAAAGGTTATTCACACTTCATGCAAGTTCATGACTCTCCAGACTGCGGGTGTCGTGCAGAGAACTTTCTTGCCACGGAACGGCGATGCTCGGAGAATGACATTCTCTTCATGACATAGTGCTTCTCGGACAGCTCGCCGGCGGCGGCGGTAATATGCTTCTGGCAGGTATATGCACGACCGCAAGTATGAATGAGTCGTGCATGTCGTGCAGACGCCACAAAGCCAACTTGTTCTCACTTCCAGACGAGGTCCGATTTCTTGCGGCAAGCGCGCTTGCAATGTTCATCGAGCGTGAGGTCTTGAAATCAAGGAAGAGAGATATGCCATGGCCAGAGCAAGACCCATGGAGTGGTTCAGGCAGGCCAATATTCGCCGGACTTGCAAATCGACCAGACTTCTGGAATGTGCATCGATCGCGATCTAGACGGGTGGCTCTCCGTATGATCAAACACTTGTGCGACTTCTTCAAGAAATCATCGACTACACTATCGTCAGCATCCTGGTCGGCTGGTCATGATCAGCAAAAGTATAACCACTGAACTGGAGTTCTTGCGTAAAGTTCAAGCCAACAGCACCGGCAGTCGCCAGCAGGGTTCATCCCAGTCTTCGGAGGACACATCACGAACATAGTCGACCTCAGATGTCGACGTGTCATTGCAATACTGGCCACAGTTAGCGTCCGCATTGGTCTCGACAGTACCATGGTCATCATCGCAGTAGAGCTGGTATACGATGGCTCAAGCAAATGTCCAATAGCAGCGGAGACATCACTGGTCAAGCTATGACGAAAGACACAGCAGAAGCAGTGAAGCAAGTATGGCTTTGGTCGTCTCCATCGCTATCTGTTTATGCATGCGTCATATTATGCCTCTGAAGCCTGCTCGCAGTCGTTCGTTCCGTCTCTTGATGCTCATGTCGAAAGGCGTGTGTCATTGGAGAAGTGCGAGCCGATGTCGAAGAGTGACAAGCAGCACAATCAGACTGCCGGCGTCTGGATCGGTGGGGTTGGGTTGCCGTCGAGCCAACAGTGGTGGTCAGCCTCCGACTAGCGAAATCGTCAGCTCAATTCTCCTGAAGCAGCGGCCGCACACGCGAAACGTACGCAATGAAAGTAGCCACACTCGGGCCAGAACTTCGGATTCGGCTGAATGCTGTAACGCAGACAGCCGGCGTCGATGTAACCCCCATGCTTGCGGTCGTAGCCCTCGGTGTCGCAAGAGTTGACGGGATAATGGAGCCAGCCGCTACAAGAATCCGCAGGGACCACAATGCCTGGGTCACACCCGTCGCCAATGACACTGATAGAGACAGTGATGCTGCCCTGCTCCCCAATGGGGGGCGAGTCACCGTTTGCCTGGAATGGCAAGAAGGCAAGGTCGGGTTCGTACTGCCTGCATAGAAGTGTCAGCTTTCACATCGTCTCAGGGTGCGGTGAAGACACTCACCAGGTACCCTTCGCTTCGTCCGGTACGTGGTGGTAGGTGATGGCCGAGAAATTGCTACAGAACCAATCGATGGCAGCGTTGAGGTTGGCGTGGCTGACGCCGAAGCATGGCCATGGCTTTCTGTCATCGAAGCACTTGAGACCTGGCGGGGTCTCCAAAGCAGCGAAGTTGTTGGTGGTGGGGGAAGGGATGTCGATGGGTGCAAGACCAGTGAAGGTGGTCGTGACGGTGATCATGTCTGCGGCAGCCTGGGCGGCGAGACCGCCGAGAAGCAAGAGGAGCTTCATGTTGGTGTTGTCTCTGGGTGATGTAGGTTGATGGACGGTGAGGTGGAGGGGACCGCGATGGCGAGGAAGAGGATGTCGAAGAAGAGGAAGAGGAAGAAGTCGGACGCTGGAGGGAGTTTTATGGTCAGTCACCGCCCACATCGCGCCTTCTCTGCCTGCCTCGCCTCGCCCCAAGACTCACCCGCGTGCCGTCTAAAAGCCGTAGAAGGTCTTGTACCACAGGAGATCGGCGGTCAGAGCCAGGTCAGGTCTGATATCCCGCAGGAGACTGCCCGCGACCACAAGAGCGACGAGCCCACAGGCTCTGCGGGCGAAGCGGAAACCTTCACGCAGCCTCTGTCTCCTGTGGAGCACGGCGGCGATTCTTTCCTGGTCTGCGGTGGCGGCGGCTTGGTGTTGTTGGAGCGGCCAGATGAAGTTGAGGTGTGGCTCCATTGTTGTTGTGAGAAGGAGTTGGTCGAGTCAAAGGGGAGGCGTGAGTTGTGCTTCAGTTGCCAGCCTCGTTGCTATCGCCGGCGGCTTGCCTAGTAGCAGTCCAGCTCCGCTCACTGCCTCCAACGATGCTCACAACATTGGCTCGATGATCTTCAGACACTGCTCTTCTATATCTCAGAACAACCATGCCAACCGCATTCACCATTCCAGGGCGAACTCAGTCTGACAGCATCGTGTTCGCCAATGATGCATCAGCTCGTGATCCAAAGCCCACCGGCTGCTTACCTTCTGCTCCTTTACCAATCCGACAACCATGGCGGCCTCGTCAGTCTCAGCACCCAACGATCTCCTCACTACTCGCCGGAGGCCAGGCCTCTCGAGACGATCGTCAACCAGCCGCACGCTCTCGATGATCTCAATACCCGTTCGCTATCATCCGCAATCTTCACCAACACTTGAGCCGACACAGCATACCCTACCTCAATTCCTCCTCGATCTTGCGCGCTGAGACCTTACATACATGACAACATCGATGGACCTCACGGGCGTACCGCTCTTGCTGTAGACGAAGGGGCTGGAGAGCTGCGAGCGCTCCAAGCCTTGGTGAACCACAGTCCATCGACCGCGTCTTTGTTACGGGTTGTAACGGGACAAAGAGCATGGGACGAGGCTCGGGGGCTATTGTGCACTCTTGGAAATATGGGCCTTGAGGCATGGGATCAGAACTACGTCCGCTATGGGGCTCGTCCACGGCAATCGCTGTCCAGCGGAGCTTAGCACACTGTACAACGTACAAAGCAGCAAGACGAGGACTTACTGTATACCACTCGGAGGTTGCACAGAGACGACAGTAACAATGGCGGTATTTGCAGAGCTCGTGCGAGTCCTCTACAATGATCCGTCCCGAGAGAAGCTATGCGTAACTAGCAATTACCACTTCTGGAAATCCTTTCTGAATGAGTCGGTCAGACAAGAGACGCGGTTGTACATCTGCAAAACAAGTCATTGGCGATCGCTTCATCAATAGGACACACTTTGACGTACAAACCTACACTCGCATATACCGGCTATGCTCTCCACCGTTCATGCGGCTCCGCGAAGCACGCAAGAAAAGACAGAAAGAAGACAACAGATGTCAGAAACCGCCCAATATTCCATCACATACCAGCCCTAACCATCATTCCTCCCACGTGATTTCGGTCATCGTATTCAGAAACATCCTCTTGTCTGTCCTGGAAAGAGGAGGAACAAAAGTCATCGAGATGATCAGCCGAACAATCGGAAAGAACACCGTGTCGCAGCGTACCGTGCCGGAAGTTGAAAAAACCTTCCAGAGGACCTTGCAGCAGAAACCGAGTCATGATACATAACCCTACATCTATCGGTCTATCAGAGAAACGGACCAATCTGGAGGCGGCGGAAAAATACTGCAGTACCGTATTGTCGTATCGTCCACATTTGTACAAGGACTGTAAAAAGGACAACTGATGAGGAAAAACTAACTTTGTTGAGACAGATGTCATTGTCATTGTCATTGCCATTTCCCGCCCTAGCATTTCTTTCACTTTCAATTCCGCAAAACAAATTCAATTACATGCACGATGCCTGCAAGGTCAAGCGAGTTACAAGACGTGGAAGGCCCTATCATTCGACTTCCGTTTCCGTAAAGTCCAACAAATGTACAATGTTACCCCTCTTCCCGATTCTGTCATTTCCATAAAGAATTCAAAAGTACAGGATGTTGGAACGTCCTGCTTTCAATCAGCTTTGCCTTCCTGGGACGTTAACTCGTGTCATCAACAGTAGAAAGCAGAAATCAATCAACCTTGGGTAGTAGTAACTTTCTAATAAATGATGAAACATTCCTGCTGCAACGCTTGCTTCGAAAGAATGCCTGCCTGCCTGCCTGCCTGCCTGACTGACAATTGTCTGCTTTGCCTGCCTTGCCGTACCCGTCAAAAGTAACTGCTTGACACCCCTGCCGTCGAAACCCTATGCCTGTCTGCGCAGATTGAGAAAAAAAAAAGACTGTGCATGCCAAAAAAGATCTGATCTGATGATATCCTTGAAGAGACCGCCCTTTTTCGTCGCGCGTCTCCATCTCCCGTATCTTCCCGGTATTTCCCTTCCATCTTGCATCTGTCCTGCTTGCATGCATCCATCTCTCTAATCCCGCGCGCCCCAACGCCGCTTGCTGTGCTTGTATGTGTGGTAAATTTTCTCTTCTTCTTTCGCTCTCTCTGTCAAAATGTCTCTCAAAAACGCAGTATAAACATGGGTTGGTTATACACATTATACAGCGATCGATCGTGCGTTGCATTGCGTGCGGGTGTGACGTTGGCAACGCACTGATGATCCACCTCTCGCGTGCGCGTCTCACACCTCGTGCGACGCGCCTTCCCACCGCCTTGGGTCAAATTTCTGACACGCCTTCTTCAACTGCTGCGATGTGATAAGAAGCAGTGCCGAATCGTCCGTGATCATGTTGTTCAGGATGCGACGGGCAAGGCAGAGACCCAATTCGCATCCGACACCGGTCTGTGTTCCGAATAATGATGGTGCACCACATCACATCGACGTGGTGAACGGCGATGGCGTAGGCGCTCTGCGGCTCTGAATCAGCCGTTCTGTCTGAATGTACAGACTGTCGAGGTACTGCATGGCGGGCGCATCTTTCAAAATTTTCGCGACCTGCAGACCCGAGCTGATGAGCTGGAGAATGTTTCTGTCGTCCTTGAGCGGCCTAGACTGATGCTTGGCCGCATGTCTCATTTCCAAGCTGTTCTCGAGGATTGTAATTAGCTGTTTAATCTGACCGTTGTAGAGAACTCTCGCTGGGATGCGTCTCTTCGTCGCGAGTCGCTTGAGGAGGTACACCCACTCCGACCATTCTCGGTCGCCGGGTACTCGCACTGGTCGCTTGTCGGGCTCGATGGGGATGGGGAACTGGTACTTTGCAACAAAGTCGTATGCACACTGGGAAAGTCTGTCGTTCACTTTTGAGAGTATCTCGTCTTGTTCCTGCGCGTAAAGCGTGATCGGGAGCTGTGGCAGGTCCTCTTCTTTCGGCTCAACGCCGTTGTCTTCGGGCTTGTCGAGGAGCTGCGATGGGCCGTCGAATTCGTCTCTGTTGGAGGGTCGTCGTTGGGGGAAAGTCTTTGATTGTAAGCTAATCGTGTTCGTCACCATGTCTCCACCAAAGAATGCACCAACCAGCGGACTGTTTCTCGCTTCCTCGGAAGAGCTACGGCGGAGCGGTGGTCCTGGCCAAGCGCCCCCGTACGCGGCATAGCCAGATCGAGGACTCCGGTCACTTCCGGGAGGCATTGGTGTTTGTGAGGTCTGAAATTGACCCGACAGTGGAGAGGTGGCCCAGCCAGAGAGAAGTGGAATCTCTTGATATGGACCAGCTGGCCGGCTCGACCATTCCTCTCGGGCCCAGCGTTGTGCTTGGGTCGAGTTGAAGGGCGGGTAGCCGGGCGCAGTGCGATTCCCAGAAGGCAGGCCCGGAGGTGGTGGAAAGCTTTTCAGGTTCTGAGCGTGTGTCGTAGGAATGGCTCCTGGATGTGTGTTGGCATACCTGAGCGCTGGCGCTGGACGCGAAGCAGCCCACGGATCTCTGTCCTGAAGTCGCTGCCTGTGCCGCGTTAGTGAATGCGAGCAGAAAAGATCGGGCGTGGGAGGAGGTGGTGCTCGCAGCGGGGGATGCTGCGCTGCCGTGCCACGTACTGTCGTGCGAATGGCTCCTCAATTCGAGATGGCAAAGCCGCAGCCCTCCTTGACTCGTTGGGAGCGTAGCCTGTGGTCGTAGGTTCAGGTGCGCCGGAGGTCATTATGTGCTTTCAGCAGACTTGGCCTGCAGGAGGCAGAGAGACGCAGAGTCGAAGGCTAGTGTTCGCAGATCACTGTTGTTCAAAGATTTGTGGACGAGTGACGGTAAGGCCCATTCTTACGTGAGGCGCACGCAGACGCGCCAACCAGCGAACAGCCATTGCGGCTTGGGTCGTGCTACTATCGAACCATTGACCTAGGAAGACAGACAAGGCTTTTGACCTCGACGCTAGGATCTTCGCTGTGCAGGCTGTGACGCGGGTTTTCTGTCCCTGCCCAAAGCAACCCTTCACAGCGAGCACAGCTCCAGGATGCCCCGGCCTCGACGGGCGGTCGTGAATGATGGCCGCAGGCACATGCGCTTGCCCAAAGATGTCAAAACGTGCTCCCATGGCCCAACTAGTCGCCGGACTAGGGAGCGGGCCACGGTGCTCTCAGGCAAGGGTAGCAGTGCGCTGCCGCCGCTGCCTCCGCCCGCGCGCCGCCCTGCTCGTGGACGAGCATCGAGAAAACCGGATGATGAATCTCCTATTGACAGGCATCCACCGGCGGACTGACATCACGCGCGTGCATTTTTGACGTGCCAACGGTCGAAGGGGACGGTGACAAGTGCCGAAAAAGAGCGGGCCGCCCACGAATCGATCATAGGGCGAAACGTAGTGCGCGCGCCGGGAGCTCCAGTATCTCGTCGCTGCGGCAGGGATCTTGAGATCGACTTCGGGATGTCCACCGCAGCGTGGCAGCGCGTCCGCTGGGCGGCGAAAGGCAGATGCCACGCTCGTTTCAGCGCCGAGCGGTGGTGCGCGCGCTGGGCGTC